TACGACTAAAGATAGAGAGAGAGAGAGAGAGCGTGTGTGATTTTAGAGTTAGTGTTATTTGGTATTTGAGAATATTTACTGAAAAGCAATGTTTTCTCCTCTTCTGCATATCTCGTTGTCATACACACGACACCTCCTTTGCAGTATTTCAATGACCGATTGATCATTCATTGGTGCCATTTCTCTCTCTCTCTCTCTCTCTCTCTCTCTCTCTCTCTGTATTGGGGCTTAAGGGGCTCTAGAAGGGAACTCGATATGCCTGGGATTTCCCTTTGGATTCTGGGAAAGGAAATTAGGTCTCATTTGTGGATGTACATCTCCTCAAATATTGCACTGAAATGGAAATGTATGTTGGTTCTCAGAATACAGGATGAACAAATATATTGCCGAAAATGTTCTATCTTCCCTGGAGAGCCAGAATCATATTGGTTAACATCTTTTTGGCTCTCATGAGATTACATTAAGCTCTGGGGATTTGTGTGCATGCATTAACTATAAAGTGATCATCATTGCAGCCGGTTAGCTATGTTCTCTATGTTCTACTTCTTTTTTATCATGAGTCTATGTATTTCATGTTTCTCTTGACATTCTATGAGTTTAGAAGAGCTGTTGTACTTTTTTGTTTTTAGCGCTCCTAAATGATCAGTATTATTATCCTTCTCTCTTTCTAAAGCAATTCAAAAGAGAAGGGAGATATGTCATGGCTCAGTGGTAGAGCAGAGGAGTCAAGGTCTGGGGTAAAAAAAAAAAAGAAGAAAGAAAACACATGATGCTCTAGTGTCCTTTGGTAAGGCATTATAATCAGCATTACCTAATACGTTGGGTAGGTCCGCTTGTTATTTGCTTTCTTAACAAGCCAATAAAAAACAAATCAGTATATATATTTTTGTTATCAAAAGGAAATTTCTTTCATTGATTCTAAGGTCATTTTTCTATTTAAATTTGCCATCAAAGAATCTGCTAAACTTTATATTTCATGTTGGTGAAGAAGTTGGTCAACCATGCCTCCTCCCAAAGTATTCTAAAAGCATTCTGTAATTTTAGAAACGCTATCGTCCTTTTCGTCTTTAGTGCTCCTAAATGATCAATATTATTATCATTCTCTTTTTGTTGTTAAAGTAATTCAAAAGAGAAAGGGAGATATTTGATGGCTCAGTGGTAGAGCATGAGTCAAGGTCTGGGGTAAATACAAAACAAAGAAAACTTGAGATGCCCTAGTGCCTTGTGGTCAGAATTACCAAATCAGTTGGGTAAGTCTGCTTGTTATTTGCTTTCTTTACAAGCAGATACAAAAGAAATCAGTATATATATATATATAGTTTGTTATCAAAAAGACAAATTTTCATTGAATCTAAGGTCATTTTTCTATTTAAATTTGCCAGAAAGAATCTGCTAAACTTAAGATTTCTTTTTGGTCAAGAAGTTGGCCAACCATGCAGCCTCCCACAGCATTCTAATTGCATTCTATTAAGAGAATACCTGTACACGTATACAAAACTTGAACAGAATTTTTTTACTGGATTCTAAAGCCCCTTTCCTATTTTGGAGCAACTTTAAAATACACCTCCACAAAAATTGACCAGATGATTGTAGGTTACCCAACGATTCATCAATGAAGTTGAATCTGAAGATTTACGTTTCTTAAGTAACACTAAACCTAATCCAAATCCTAACTCTAACCCTAGGTCTTTGACGTTTATGTTCATAAACCCAATTATTAGGGTTTTTAAGGTCAGCCCCTATTTCATTTGCCATTAAACAATATGCTTACATCAGCTTTCTTTGTTGGTTAAAGAAATAACACATTCCAATTCTCAAAAGAGATAGTCTGTTATAATTAACAGTGTCAAAATTTATGGTGTATCATAATAAAAAATGATACTCATAAAAGCTTACAATGTAAAACTTTAATTGCTTACTTTTTATTGGTCCCCAATATTTTCATCCCACTTAAATTTCAGAATGTGTTCATGTTCGCCAATATTTTACCAATATATTTCAATCTCATTTTTATGTGCGGTGCAAACTGATTTTAATCAAAAACTAGATTATAAAAGTTTGTTCACACTTATGATGATGATGTAGATTGCATGTTCAAAGTTCACCCTCTGTATGCCTGTCCTCATCAGCTTGAGATTGCCAAATATCCCGCTATTTCAACTATCCCGATCGCAAATTATCCAGTTAGTTTGCGTCTTCATCAGCGCGAGGTTGCAATTAGCAGGATATTTGGTCGTGATAATCATCCCAAGATATTTTGGGATATTGTTTGCAAAATATCACACTATTTGTCGGGTGCGTCTTCACCAGCCCGAAGACTCGCACTATGCGCGAACGCTGAGCAAAATATCTCGAGCTAATTGCTCAAGGTCGAGTTTCAAGTTTCGAGGTCAAATCTCGAGCTGATGAAGATGCGATTTGTAACTTCAGGATTATTTCCCAAATCAGAAATAGCGAGCTATTTGGCAATCTCGAGATGATGAAGACAAATGGCATATTTGTATTCCTCACATTTGCTCGACTATAAAGACCATAATATATGAATTTATATACCCCATGTAACTTTATGCACCTGTGTACTGAAGAAAAAATGTAAGGCTATTTATATCGTGATGTAATTTTTTCTTGATAGTAGGTACATGTACTTTCTTGTTGAGTCATTGCAGATAATCTTAAAGGGATTGGATATCTTTGTATCAGATTCTAAACAAAATCCTGGGTTTAGCTCATCCTGCAATCATAATTATAAACCTTTAGTTTAGGTCAGTCAGGAATCCCATGACATTTACAAGCCGATCGCCTGTCTGATTATCAAGATATTGATGAATGAAAGATGAATGTTTTTTTTTAACACTTTAGTCAATTGGGGAAAACAAGTATGATAAAAGCGGTCACTCAAAGATTTCTACTTTTTTGAGGAACTTCATGATCATTTTTTGTTGGGGCTTCAACACCATATCACAGACACTAATAACACATAGGGCCATGCATCTCAGATTTGTAAAACTGGAAACGTTGTTAAATAATGCCTTTAACAGTATTCATCATTGCTATAAAAAGAAATGATAATAATATTTGGCAGCATACATGTTCGTCATGGTTATACAGTGAAAACTCGTTTTAACGAGGTCCTTGGCTTGGGACAGTGGAAATGACCTTGTTATACATACATGTATATCAGGAGTCTTCTGATATAAGGGTTGAAAAATCAAGAGAATATGAAGTCTGTTTTTTTTTTTCTTTCTTTTCTTTCCTTTGTTTTAATTTTGACCATTTCTAGTTTTAAGGTAATGAGGGCCTTTTCATGTGATATTACTATTCAATATTACTGCACGTAGGAATAAAAAGAATAAAAACGCTCGCACACTTCACTTTTCCCAGAATAAACAATTCACTTGAAGCCACTAGAAACCTAAACGGTTTCAAGTAGTTATCATCATTGAAAACTACATACTGTCTGTTTGGAGCCAGAAGCTAGGTCTTAACCCCTTGTAAAGGTGTCTAGTGTAAAATGATACGATTTAGCCCTTGCGGCTCGAAACAGATGATTGAAAATTATTTCAAATTCTATTCTTTGCTCTCAATACAATATGTCCTGATTCTCCTGAATGTACATTACATTTTATATTAAAGATTTGTTTTGTTGGGTATGGTGATGATCATGCTCGCTTGCCTGTAACACATTACTTCAAAACTTTCCTTTGTGTTTTTACAAATAGCCATGCCATTTAGATTATCATGTATAGTTAACAACTAAATTATTCATACCCTTGCCAAGTTTTGTAATGTTTTAAGTATGTTAAAAATTGATTTGTCACGATTTATGTTTCTTGAGAATGTGACATTATATTAAAGCTTAAAATAAAATAAAAGCATTCAACAATGGCCATTCTTCCTTGAGTTACGACAAAGACACAATAAACATAAAATTTACAAGGGATATCTGTATGAATAATTTACAAATTGATGTATGTTGATGGCAGTCATCCATCATTAAATGAGGCTGGTTACCATGCGGAGAGTTAAGGCTCATACATAAATCATCAGTTTCATGATGTCAATAAACTCATGAAGGGTTCATTGAAGTGTACCTTGTTTAGTGCTGTCTCATTTAGGGTGATGTATTACATTGTAGAAAATTGTACATGTAATTTACCGAAGTGTACAGTATGTAGTATTTATTGCTTTATTAATCTGAAGCACTCTAGGGGTTTCAGTAAGTGGTACATATGCAGTCGTGTCTGAATGGTAACTGTTACAATGAAAAATGCACATCATGTACAGTAAACATACAGATAATTGCAACCTTGTGAGTTTCTACACTAATTTGTGTACATCTTTACTTTTGAAGTGTATATTGGGAATGAATATTGGATAGAATTATATTCACAAAAATTGGTTTAAAACATATCAGGATGAAATACACTGTTTTAGAGGTTATTCTTTAATAGAGGGTTAATTGAAAAATGCTTTATTACATGTACATGTAGTTGTTACCAAGCATACCCACTTTTACATCCTGTTTGTTTGAAATTAAATAAAATCAAATTGAATGACTCATCTAGCAAATAAATGCAAATAGTATTGTTTCCTTGTTTCCATGCTTTTTTTTCTTTTTCTTTTTTTTTTCTTTTTTTTTTTCTTTTTTTTCTTTTTTTTCTTCTTTTTTTTTCCTTCTTATTTTAATGCAAATTACATGTTTGTAAATAAACCCACATGACTGTTGGACAAGCAGAAGGCATTTTAATAATAATAATAATAGCATTCTGGGTTATATACTTGTAGCGCCCCACGATGTTTCTGAGGGTTTCACATCTACTGTACGTACCGGTCCATTTATTATGTCCCCTGTCATCAGATTCAGACTTGCGTCCAAACAAAATATGCACATTCTCCACCTCCTGGGGGACATAATTCCAGCCAGTTTTATGGAAACGTGGCCAGAATGACCCATTACATATATGTTTCAACTATGTATTTTTTCTACCATTTGCTCCTAGATCTTTGCCTTGACTGATCCTTCCACCCTGGAGCTTGCTTGTGAGTTAGGGGGGGTGGGGAACCTGTTTGGTATCGAAGATCCAGAACTCCGAGCCAAGACCAACCGAGAACTATGTGCTCTCAACCAAGAGCAGTACACAGAGATTGCCCAAGAGCTCCTCTCACATCTAGACCCTACAGCAGTCGCATCATTGGTAAGTCATCGGCATATCCAGAATTCTCCCCCCCCCCCCCAAAAAAAAGGGGGGGGTTCTGGGGTAAATGACAAATATTGTAAGGTCAGGGATCAAGGCTACAAATTGTTATTATAAATTATTGGATATTTTTTGGTTCTGCCTCAGCCCCCTTTTTCTGTGTCCACCAGAATATGGCTCAATGGATGACCATCATTTTGTAAATGGGCCATTCTGTTTTATTGAACTGAATGGAGTACACTATCAAATGCTAATTATAATCAAATTCAATTGTCTGAGAAATGACACTGGCCCCATAATTTCAACAATTCCAATTAAATTCTTGTTTGTGGTTTGACAATGTGACAAAGGTTGTATTCTTTTTGTGCAATAGCGACCTGATCCTACACGGTTTATAAATTAAGCTTCTGTTATTATTAAATTAACTGTTTGTTTGTTAATTACATGAATCTTTTGTTTATTTCGCTTTGTTTTGTTTAAAGAAAAAGTTATTTACAGATGCACATGCCAAGAAAAGTAATGTCAATACCTCACTTATCGATAGATGTTTGTCTCATTGTCTTTTCTGAATGAAATAGTTTATAAGACTTTGTAATCTATAGGTTGTAATCATGTTTGACCTGGAAGATTACGATGGACTTCCTTTTGTAGTTTGGTTTGTATATCCTGATGACATACATGGAACACCCCCAGGGAAATTGACTATGTCCGGGGCAGTCTACCAATTGCCCTTCCGCCTAAAAATGTTTGTTCCTAGAATACAGATGTTAAGGCAATCTCCAATTCTGGTAATAAAAGGACAAATGAACTCTCTCGGATTCAAACAAAACTTGTATGAATTGTTCAGTACTACAAATGAATGTTTTGTGTCAATAGTTTGGGCAGAAACTGTGTACCGGTAATAGCTGGTTGATGACCAAATAAAGAATAGAAAATGATCTTCAAGTAATGGTCCCAAACACATGCACAAGTTTTTGTATTTCAAGGAAAGTTTTGCTTTTCAATAAATGTTATTTTCAGAAAGTGTTCATTAGTTTGTTTATAATTTGTTTATTCAAACAACCCATTCACTGCATACATACATGTAACAAAACAAGTCAGAATCAATTTTAGCCAGTTTTTCTAAAAATACTTTTGCAGTACTTACCAGAATTAACCTAACCAGAATTCTAGATTATCTGTAAGTCTATTCATAAAAAAAATCCATTCATGCAAAAGTTTGTATGTAGGTATTGATGTAGTTATCTTTCTCTTCTTGCTCGCATACAGGCTGGTTCTGCTTCAAGTAGCACATCATCAGGTAAGAAACGCTGCATTTATCTCCTTATTTTCTCTTACTTGTTAGAATGTCCTTTGCAAAATTACTAGTACTCTTAAATGCACATGTACACTGTGTAGGGCACGGTTCATGAATTTTATTGTGATAAGCAGAATGAGAATTAAATTAAATAAAATAAAAAATTGAAATTCATTACTGGTACTTTTAAAATAAGGATACCATTCTTGTTAGATACTCAAGGTATGACACTTGGGTTTCAACAGGGGGAGGGCATAGGCAAGTTAGTCCCCCCCCCCCCCCCCTACAATCCACTAGTGACATGTACATGGTCGGTCTGTCCCTGAATTAGCTCTTCATTGTGAGTGAGTGCAACAATCGACATACTGGTACTCACCAATGACTTGACTGATTGCATTGTACATATACTTTTACCGTACAGTCATTTATTAAAGGTTAGTGTCAGGCACTAGCAATCGGTGAAAGGAGTTACATGCGTGACCCAAAATGAGCTTTGCAATGGGCCATATTCATAATGTAACCAAATTGAATGCGTACGTCTCAGTGACTGTGCCTCAATACATATTACTCATTCACCTATTAAGAATAATCGTATTTCAATAGTCAGAATGCAAACTGCATATTTTATGTGTTGTTAAGTAGGGCAGTCCATAATGTTTGACCTACCTAGCAACAAATACTATTTACAAACCGCATTCTCACTATTGAAACACAATTATTTGTAACAGGCGAATGAGATAGTTTGTATCGAGGCACTTCTCAAAGACGTATGCATTAAATTTGGTTACATTACGAACAATGGCCTATTCGACAGTTTGGTTGTCATGCCAATCATGCTAGGAGTCAACCCTGAGTGAAGTATTTCTTAAAAATATGAAAATTTCGAGGGAATTGGAGCACAAGTTGTCTTGCTAGAATGCATGCATCTTGAAGGCACAGAGCAGTCAAATGATGCCCATGAGTATGACTTGCAGTGAGGCTTTTCCATTTGAAGATATCAAACCATTGTAGATGTACAATATATGCCCTGCACATCTCCACTGTATAATTCATCAATGAATATTTAATTTCTACTAGAGCATGCCTTTTATTACGTCAGTGAATGCTGCCAATAGATTTTAATTTTTCATACATCTAAACTGTACATGCACTTTTATAGGGCTCTTGATCCTAAAATGTCACACTTTATATAAGATTTTCTTGTTGAAAATATACGTCTTGATAAAATTTGGTGAAAGCTTGAAATGCCTAAAACTAATACATAGTTACCAACTGTGATTGTCACTCACTGTAGTACACTTGTACCATAATCTTTGATTCTGAATGAAATGTGTGCATATTTATTTTATTTATTTTTATATCTTTTATCTTTTTTTTCTTCCAACATTATAGGTTCAGTCACACTGTCTGACATTTTGACGGACCCAGCAGCTTTTGAGGAACTTTTAAAGACCGACCTTGGGATTGATCCTAATGTGACAGAGGAACTCATGAATACACCTATTAACCCTAGAGAGGTAAGTCTAGACAGATATCGATAAAGAGAAAAATAGATGGATGAATGGAGAGAAAGGTGCGTATATGGATGGAGATCTATGAGCGTGAGGGAGGTATGGAGAGAGAGAGAGATAGAGAGATAGATATATAGATATATATATAGAGAGAGAGAGAGAGAGAGAGAGGGGGGAGAGAGATGGGTGGAAGATGTTTGAGATATTTTAGAGCTTTATCTACCCCAGTGGGAAAAAATGCTTTCTGTCTTCTGAGAGGAGGGAAGAGTTTAAGAAGAAAATATTTCAGGGGATGTCCAGGATATAAATGATACTGAGGACTATTACAGAATATCTGGATTCTGGGTTTGAAAGGAATACTACTGTTGTGTGTTACAGTGTATCTGGGGAATGGTTAATGTATAAATGAGCAATATCGAAGGGAAAATTTTCCATAATTACCATCTTCCTGATTAGCCACTATGAATAATCGCAGGGGTGTCATGCCAATTTTATTTTACATTTTTATGATTCGGTTTAATGTTTCCAAACTGTGTTTGAACTGAGACAACATCAAACATTGTTTGTCATATTCTCACCCTCTCTGTATGAAACATGATAAGCGCAGTAATCCGTTAGACAAAGTCAACAAGTGTTATCCAGGATGATTGTGTAGGCAAATACTGAAATTTGGGCCGGGATGTTTTAAGAGCAAAGAATCCTCTTTACGCTGTGTTTTTACTAGGTGGCAACAATTTGATGACACATCACTTTTATGTCTCATTCTTGTTGACTCTGTTTATCTCACGTTCCATATTTGTTGGCGTGTTCCTCTTCGCTTTCTTATCCATTCCTCTATCATCAACATGTCTTTATCTCCCCCCCCCCTCTCCCTCTCCATCCTGATTGATCTTGATCTGTTATCTTTCTCATCCTCAATCTGTCTATCTTTCTACCCATTTTCCATCTTTCTTCCTCTCTCTTATTCTTTCAATCTGTCCATCTTTCTGCCCTTTCTCTGTCTTTCTTCCCCTCTCTTATTCTCTCTTCCTCTCTCTTAATCAATCTATCTCTCTTTCTCCCCTTCTCTATCTTTTTTCCTCTCTATTTTTCTCTTCCCTCAATATATCTACATGTATCTCCCCTCAGTCTACCGGGTATCTCTCTTTCTCCCCTTTTCTATCTTTTTTCCCCTCTATTAATCTCTCTTCTCTCAATCTACCTCTCTTTCTCTCCTTTCTCTATCTTTTTTCCTCTCTCACTCTCTCTCTCTCTCTTCTCTCTCTGTCACTTTTTTTCTCATTTAATCTCTGTATATACAATTTGAGAGAACATTTTATCATCAGTACGATAATGAAACTATAATCATGCTGAATACTTGTACATTGTAGCACACCCTTAAAGTAAACAACCAAAGTCTATCATATTTTGATGGGTAATACCATGGGCGTGTTCATGCTTCACTTTTTCTGGCCAGAATCAGGCATCTGTTACGCGGTTAGTTTAAAACACGGTTGCGTCCATGCTTACTTTTGTAGAATCACCGAAAAACGGCGATCACGATCGCCGATCGTAAACTCACAAAAAGATGCGTTTACAATTTGTAAACGCGTTTAAATGGGGTCAACGCACTGACCTCTAGTGGGTCTACGTAGCATGCACAGTGAAGGTTTGCGAATCCAGCTGGAAGATCAATTAAGGCCACACAAGGAGAATTGCCTGGATGAGCCAGAGAAGTAAGCATGAACAGTACACCATGGAACTGCGATCACGATGAGCGTTTACGATGAGCGTTTCAGATCGCTCATTCTACCTTCAAAATCAAGCATGAACGCGCCCCTTGTCTCCGAGACAGTAGTTACTAGATTTATAAACTTGAGATTACCATCTTTTTATAAACATGGTGCCATAAAGTAGATGACTCCATGTTACTTTGTTAAATTTACTACGATTATCAAAAAAACATGTGATTATACATACATGTAGGCTAGAGGAATGGTGAAATACACTGTATGTAGTGATGAATAATACTAGAAGCAATGGCTTGTATTATGTTCATGTAGAGTACATGTATGTACTGTTTTAGTGCTAAAGCATATGTTGTTTTTAACATGTACACGTTGTTTGTCTAAGAAATGTTAAGGTAAAGTTCACTATATTTGCATTTGTGTAAATCAGCTTCCCACTCTATGTGTACTTAGCAACCAAGTTTCATTTCAGTCCTGTGCTTATATTTTCGAGTCTGTTTGGCCAAAGATCGGACTTTGAGACCAAATGCAAACAAGAATGTATTCATTAAAATTCTTTTATGTGCATGTTTTCAAAAAAACAAGCACTTACAGCAAACAAGTCAGTTGAGTTGTGAGAAATAAATGGAAGACATAAAAATGTACCCCTCACAGGTGATGATCATGATTCTGTGCTCCTCATCTCTTTCTATCTTCTTTTCACTCTTCTTCTTTTCATTCTTCTTCTTTCCTATTTTTTCCTTTTCTTCTTCACTTAGTTACTATTGATGGCGAAGTTACCATCAATGGTAAGTTTTGTGCAACGGGCCCATACCTACCAAATGGTGCTCAAGGAGCCTACAAATTACTGCAAATTTACCTGACATACTGAATGTAAAATCATTCAATAATTTGTTTTCCCTCACCAGGTACTCCTTTATTACACTCTGGTTGTTTTGTGAACAGCGTCAAAGACTTCAGAAGAGTTATGTCATGCCAAAGGTAGTAGTGATTTCAACAACATAAAATCACTGACCAGCTTTCTCTGAATTATTGTGTAATAAATGAAATAAATAGATGAATACATGAAGTGTGAAACATTAAATTTCTCTATTGATTCTCCTACTCCAGCTTCAACTGTTGTTACAAGGTAGTGGCATGCATGACACTGTGTGCAACGAGACTGCTCTAGGTCAGATCATCCAGCCTCAGAACCCTGGTGACCTTGATGATATTAGCAGAACCCTTTGTAACCTGACTAATAGCCAACTGGATGAGTTCTCAAAGGATCTCTGGCAGTCCTTGGATAAACAGAAGTTCATTGATTGGGTGAGTTCTTTGATTATGTATGTTTCTATCTTCTATGTTCTTTCAAATATTCTCCATATTTTGCTTTAAAGGGATCGTTTAACAATGCTAAATCTGAGATGCACGGCCCTACATGTTATCAGTGTCTGTGATATGGTGTAGTATTGAAGCCCTAAAATTGTGCTTCAAAATTATCATGAAGTGCCTCAAAAAAAGTAAAAATCTTTGAGTGACAGGTTTTGCCATACTCATTTTCTCCAATCGACTGTAGTGTTATAAAAGCCGTTAGGAAAACAGAAAATTCGATTTTGATTTCCAATCATAAATATTTTGATCATCAGACAGGCGATCAGCTTGTAAAAGTCATGGGATTCCTGACTGACCTAAAGGTTTATAATTATGATTGCAGTATGAGCTAAATCCGGAATTTTGTTTCAGAATCTGAGGCAATGTTACGGAGTCTCTTTAAAAGAATTATCTTACTTTGTCCTCATTGTTGATGGTGACGAAAAGTGATAATATCAAATGTTTCTGATATGGCAACCCAGAATTGATCTCTTAAGGTGAAGAGGAATAGAAAATGAATTCTGTTTAAATATTTTACTTGTTCTCTTTATGATTTTCAGGCCAGGAACAATTCAGATGTCCCACCTAATGTCTATGACGATATCAAGCAAATCATGCAAGAGGTAAGATTAATTAATTTAGTAGTAGTTTGCGAGTATCAAATTAATTGTCTTAGATTGTTCAAACAACCAAAAGAAATAATGTCAAGGATTGTTGAAGGATATTCAATCATGACTATAACCTGTATCATTTCTGAATGTTTCAAAGAAATATTGAATCGATGTCTGATGTCAAATTTCTAAACTCTTTTAAATCATTTGTCTTCATTTCATACATGTCTTTTTGCTTAAGATTTAAGATTACAAACAATTATCTCCATGAAATTACAGGGGCATTGGCAGTCTCTAGCAGATGACATATGAATTAACTTGGTCTCTAGCTCTATAGCAATGACCAACGGATCACTAATCTGTTAAAAGAACAATAGTACAGTCAAACCCGTCTATAGCAACCGCCCGAGGGAAACACAAAAAGTGGTCTTTGTAGCCAGGTTCCTTTAGTACATGTTTCAATGAGAAACCATTTTCAAGGGAAACAAACAAATGTGGCCTTTGTAGACAGGTGGTCACTAAAGCAGGTTTGACTATCTGAGTAATTTTCAATTCTTCCCAATCATTTCAGATTCAAGAGCTGGAGAGCTTCAGGAACCTGACCTCAGAGATTGAGGATATCCTGAAGAGCAACGACACCGGTCAGCTGATCTGCGGAGACCTGCCCTTCCTGACCCTCGGCGGGTTGCCCAGCTTGGGAGGGGATGACCAGCAGCCCCCCGCAGCAGGGGAACCAGAAGAACCTGTGGAACCGATAGAGCCCGTAGAACCAGTGGAACCTGGAGATAACCCAACATTCCCTCCACTGAGTGGTGGAGATGGAGATAATGATAATAGTATGTTCTAGCAATACCTCTTTCATGTACATGTAACAAGTATTGTCTCCAACTCAGTAAGGTGGTGAGATGTCAGTAAAGTGATGATTTTAATGTCAGCCAAACTACCAGACAGAATTACGGGCTGTGCTTTAAAGCGGGACTGCACTACTTGTAGATACTTGCGCTCTTGATATACCCAACAATGCCTAAGCGGTACTTGTTGGTCCCTCATGATCCCCTTTTTCTTATGTTAATTGAGAGCTGAATTAATGTGATAACCACCTGTCAGTGACCACGCAGGGAGGTCTAATCCCTCCTGGCCAACCTAGTGCAAATAGGCTTTCAAGACATACATGTATGAAGACAATTTCAGATACGTACAATATCAGTGTTTTTTTTAAACCATATTCATGTGCATCTGACAAATATTGTCTCCAACTATACAAGTATTCTGAAAAATTTTGACTTACAAATTCTGAATTTCTCCTTTTTCATTTCCAGGTACAATTCCAGGCACAGAGCGATGCCCTTGGCTTGTGGACATTTTGCAGTCTGGATCACAGAGTACCAAACAAACACAGTATGTCCTATCGCTCTTCTTACCCATCATACAAGGATACATCTTCTACACACCCAACACCACCGCCACCAGACAGATCATGAAAGAGGTATTGCTAGAACAGAATTTATGAATATGTTAGATATTTCTTAAGTGTATACTCCTGAGTATTAAAGCAACCAGTGGACCTGATTTGCTTTTATTTCATCAGACGGATTGAATATATCTTAGTTTGCCCAAGGGGCACAGATTTACTTAACTATTAATATTATTATTATTGTTAAGTATTTTGCGTCACCTGTGGCTAGGGGTGGAAAAATAAAATGAATCACTGTAACCACCGGGTCTGTCCTCTAGGTATAACTGATTGCAGATGTGCAGGTGAACCACTACACCGGGTCCCACACCACCCCCCCCCCCCCCCCCCCCCTCTCACACTTTTGTACAAATAGTGCAGTGGATTCTTGACGTGCAAAAGTGGTGACTCTCCTCTACACTGGGCTTCTATTTAATGTCCTATCTGAGGGACAGAGTGATTTCCACCGTAACCTAGCCTGTGTCTATGAAACAAGAGGGGCTCATTAACATACAACACATGCTTCAGCTATTCGCGTGGAGTGGCTTCAAAGCCACGATCTTCATGGTTTGTCAGGTAGACGCTTTACAGACTGAGCCAACTCGCCTCCTCTTTGCTCTTAACATGGCACATACTGATATAACTGTTGTTGTTACTTTAAAGCCCTACTGCAATACTTATAGTTACTTGCGCCCTCTATATAGCAAATAATGCCTAATCGGTGACCGTTGGTCCCCCATGATGCCCCTTTTCTTATGTTAATTGAGAGCTGATTTGATGAGATAACCACCTGCCAGTGACCTTGCAGGGAGGTCTAATCCCTCTATGCCAAACTAGTGCAGAGGGGCTTTAAACTTGTGTATTTTATATTATAAGATGTTCTGTAGATCTAGTTCTAGAAATCCTTTTTTTGTAAACACATCTCCTGTTATGATCTCTCTACAGGCTGATGAGATGTTCAACAGTCTGAGGGACATGAAGGATTTAGCTGAGAAATGGATGCAAGTATCACCTTGCATCAGAGTGAGTATATTTTGTTCTTTAAGTTAAGGAAAACAGTCCACCAATCAGATAAAATGATCTTTTGGTTGTGTAGAATATTTATGTAAACCAAAGCCAGAATCTATCTTAAGCTTTCTATAAACTGATGTAGGTACAGTGTATCATCAAAAAATTGACATCATTTTACCTAATACACAATGAACACAAATAGTTTTTCATAATTTGTATCTTTGGTAATATCTTTTAATTAGTCAGGATGAATTTTTAAGAAAAGTCAGCTGACAAAAAGACAAAAAAGATATTGGACATAAAACTCAAATGCCATCTACAAGTGACATGAACGTACATATACATGTACTTACAAGATCAAGAAACAAAAATGTTATGTCTTTCTGTTTTTGTCATTTAACCAGGCATTCGTTGAAAATCAGGATCTGCGTACCATGGCAACCTGTTTGAACCGCTCCAGTCAGGGCCTTTCCCCTTTCCCTGACAACCCCTCCGATCTCCTTCCAGTCACCGGTCTTCCAGGGGGTGTAACCTTACCCCCCATTCCACCCACAATGTTACCCCCTGTGCTCCGGAATAACTCCTACCTACCGGACTTGTTTGGGAACGACACCCAGGATATTCTGAACCTCCTGGATGCCATGGACAGTTTGGCCAATACAACTCTTAGTGTTCTTAATGTGAGTGTTCTAATGCATTGTCTTACAGCTACAGTGAAACCTGTCTATAAAGAACAACCAAGGGAAACAAGAAAAGTGGTCTTTATAGGCAGGTGGTCTTTATGTACAGGTTCGTTTAGTACATTACATGTTTCAATGAGAAACCTTTTTCAAGGGAAACAAAAAAATGTGGTCTCTGTAGACAGGTGGTCTTTGTAGACCAATGGTCACTGAAGCAGGTTTGACTTTATTTACATTATCTCTTTCTTTAACTCTTTGCCTGCTTTGGCCTATTAATAGAACATGCAGTGGTGTTCTTCTGCCAACTTTTATCGCATGCATAATGTGCATGGAACATAATACACTCAAAACAGTGTGGCAATCAAAGTTTCCAGCACATATATCGCATTGGAGGATAATTCAACCTAAATAGCAAAGTACTTTTGGTGGAAGCAGACGCATCTATACAGTGTACTCTGTTTATGTTCATTGAAATGTAATGTAGGATAACCCTTCATTCTGTATATAGTGGACTTTGTCATCCCATGTCTTACTATAAAGAAAAAAAATGGAATAAAAATGATTGATACATTCATTTCTGTGCTTATTTCTGTGATTTGTAGTACGTGTAACTAGTATGTTTGAACTTCAATAGATGGAAGTATTCCCTTGAACCAACATTGATTGACCTTCTCTCTCTTATTATGTTTCCATAGTGCTTTGAGCTAGACCGATTCCGTCCTTACAAGAATGAAATGGATCTCGTTGATGATGCCAAGGTTCATATTGAAAACTACACATTTTGGGCTGGTAAGTCTTGCTTTGTACTCTTTACTTTTAAATGGATTCCACTCAGTGTGGACTGTGGGAGAGTTCTTTCTTGAGGTTCATTGTAAATTTATGCATTATTGAAGTGACGCTTTTAGATTTATATCTTCCTGATTACATGTAGTGTAGATTAAGTACAATGTTAAGAAAGATTTTAAAATGATTAGGTTTATGAGAATATTATTTTCAGCCGTTTGTATGAATTCGGGCTGTCATATTCCAAGATAGCTAGATTGTAATTGCTTTCCTTTTCTCAAAGATATTTACATTGGAAAGCAATCAATTATATGTTAATGAGAGCTTTCCTCTCAGAAGAACTCCATTTGATAAGTGGAGATGTTCAAGCTTTTAGCACACAAAGGAAAGGAAGTCAGGTTCCTAAGTGAATAGAGATTAGACTTCCTTTCTTCACATGAAGAGAAGCATTTTACACCTCGCCTAATCCCAAACAGGTAGTAGAGGAGTATTTTACACCTCACCTAATCCCAGAAGGATACACATGTAGTAGAGAAGCTTTTTACACCTCACCTAATCCCAAACAGCTGGTAGGTTTATTGATTAAACCTTTTGTTTGTTAAAATGGGCACCTTGACCACAGCAGATCCCTTAGTTCATGATAACAAAAAAAAAACCTTTTTGGATAACCAATGTCCTCGTTATATTACATAACATTCTTTTGAAGCTTGGAAGTTCACTTACCTGAATTTGTCAATAAAGTTTAAGTTCCATTCAGATACTTCAGCTGTGTATAAACATCACTTTGTATTACATGTACCTAGGACATGTAGTATGAATTTGAATTCTGAAGGTTCTTTTCTAAATTGAAAAGTGATTCTCACTGAATTACATCATGTTTTTTTTGTTTGTTTTTTTATGATAACAGTCTTTGACTATAAAAGTATATTGAAATGAAAGGACATCAGATCCTAATGGAAAAAGACAGTTACATGTACATGTATATGTACACATTTAGTGAGAAACTTGGTTTGAAATTATTAGTAATAGAACATTTCCTTTATGAATTGATGTATCAGAGAACTTTTTTTTTTAATTCTTAATTATAACAGTACATTATTATAAATTCCATTCACTGCTATGAGTAAGAAGTGCAATAACTTTTACAGGTAGCTCTTTACATATACATGTATGTCTCTAGGGAGAGGGGAGACAATGAATATAAATGTACCTTTATTAAAAGTCTAGCAATTGTAACTGAAATCGTAACCTTGATCGTAAGGTTGATATTGAGTGTAAGTCTACGGCTCATCATGTATTGATTAGACTTAAGATAAATCATGACTCTTTATAATATGAGGCCTTGGTATTACTATAATCTGTACTGAAAGGTTTATGTACACATGTAAGTTTGTGTTTTGGGGGCTAATTTAATTGTATTTGACATTTTGTATGTTCTGTCCGTTTTCAGGTATTGTGTTCACCAACGTGGATCCTGATCCCGAGAGTACCTACATTCCACCTCTGCTAGACTACAAGATACGCATGGACTCGGCTTTCAGTGAGAGCACAAGCAAGCTCACGGATCAGTGAGTAGTGTTTTTAACTGTTCCTCCCTCTTCAAAAGCCCAAGAAGGAAATACAGACAAATAAACTTAATTTGATTTAATGCCCTGCTTTTGTAAATATATTGTCCTAGGTGAAATTTGCTATTTTGTGATATATATGATCTTTTGGTACTACTATCTACATGTACATGTCTATGGATTATGAAATTTAGACTGATATACATGTATATTGAGGGGAAGTCATGATTTTTGCTTCAAGAGCCCAAAAGGAATAACTTCATTGCTGTATTGTTATAGCACTATGTGTCATATTTATTGTCCAACAGACGTGAATCTGAACCCTTTTGGGATACTTAGTGTGGTTTGAAATTCCAAATGAGCTTTAAAAATACCTTATGCAAAATTGTAATGATCAACTTCATAATCCCTAAATGATTATATGGGGCCTTTGCTTATTTCACTAAATGTGTGTTCTTTGATATATATTTTGTTTAATTAGTATTGTTCCCTGCACTATGGGTTGATGAGTTGGACTGAAACGAAGAGAGCACACACCATATCAAATGATAACTTGCTCATTTCCTTTCAGATATTGGACTCCAGGACCCAGGAAAAATATCAGAGATCGCAAATATTTTGAGAGCGGTTTTATCTTCATCCAAGACATCTTAGAGCAAGCTATCATTAAAGTGATGACCGGAAAAGAGGACTTGGGAGCTGGGATGTACATTAAACAGTTCCCATATCCGTGCTATATTAATGATCTGTAAGTGTGTGTATAATTTTTCATGTAGCCAATCATTTATTTTCATTTAGTAATTTGGTTTAACCCTATTTTAACTGGGCTATTTCAGACCAGGTTTTTACTGGGGGGGGGGGGGGGGGGGGGGGGGGGGTCAATTTGACCCCCCTAAGATCTCGACCGTTTCAACGCCGATCGCCGCGAAAATTTGCATGCATGTCAAGTGAAGTGTATAAAATACTACGGTAATTTCAAATTTTTGAAAAATTCACTCATTTGCATATTTATGGTAATTTATGCAAATAAGGTCATCAAATTCACATTTCTGCCCATAAATCATAGATTATTCATGTTTACCTATTCTTTTTCAATACATATATTCATTAGACCATTTGGAATAATAATACAACACTAAAAATTGGAAGAGCCAGGTTATTCCTTATGTTATCTCTTGTTTTTATAATTTCTTATGTATTTCATTGTTTTTTTAACTTATGTATTTCATTGTTTTAGTTGTTTTATTTTATTTATAACTACAATTCAACTATTTTGACCCCAAAACAAACATCTAAACTTTAAACAAGACTGAATTACCAATGTTTTATCTATTTTTAGGAAAAAATGACTTTTACATATGTTTTGTACACAAATCACGAAAATGAGCGATTTTCGGGCTGACATGCAAAGACAAAAGGTCACGTGACCTTGTAACCGTAGGTCCGATTTTCGAAAAAATTATTTAAAAAGATGCGTAAGACTCGAAAGTAAAAAGTCATGAAAGGAAAATTTTATATCTGCCGCGGTTTCGGAGTAGTCACGAAATTTCTACAGGGGGGGGGGTCAAATTGACCCCCCCCCCCCCAGTTAACATAGGGTTAAGGGAACACAAAGCATGATTATAACAATAACTGTAACAAATGCAATAAATTAGAAACTTAGCAGTATTAAAGGAACAATGACCAATGCATTTAGAGTACCCCAGAAAATGTCTTTATGAAGGTTTTCCTTATCAGTAGTTTTAAAAGGAAACATAAGAAAAGATAAGCAGTCAAAAACTTGATGACAGGTACTGTTTAATATTGCAGTTTTAATTGCAGATTTAATTGAGATGAACTCTGCTCGAGCATATCTGAAACTACCATATTTAACAGATGTGCAACAAATGCCAAGTAAATCACCTTGCTGTATTAATGATATGTCAAAGCAAATAAAACATTAAAAGCATTGACATTAATTGTGAAATTAAGGTCATTGTTATACCAAAATCCATTACATCACCTTAGAGCATGGGAAATTAAAGGATTATCATGATTATCTTCATTTCCTTACTCCAGTTTTGTCCAATCACTGTCTGGAGTTCTGCCTCTGTTCATGATCATCTCCTGGATCTTCTCGGTGGCGATGATCATCAAGGGCATCGTCTACGAGAAGGAGAGACGTCTGAAGGAGGTCATGAAGGTCATGGGGCTTAGCAACGGGGTTCACTGGCTGGCCTGGCTCATCGATAGCTTCCTGGTCATGTTCACCAGCTGTGTGCTCCTGGTGCTGGTTTTAAAGGTGAGGATGGGAGTGGATGTTGGGTGATGATGTTGAGAAGAAAGAGGAAGAGGAGGACGATGATGATGATGATGATGATGATGATGATGATGATGATGATGATGATGATGATGATGATGATGGTGATGATGACGATGATGATGGTGATGGTAATGATGACGATGATGATGGTGATGATGATGATGATGGTGGTGATGATGACGATGATGATGGTGATGGTGATGATGATGATGATGATGGTGATGATGATGATGATGGTGGTGATGATGACGATGATGATGGTGATGGTGATGATGATGATGATGATGGTGATGGTGATGATGACGATGATGATGGTGATGATGATGATGATGGTGGTGATGATGACGATGATGATGGTGATGGTGATGATGACGATGATGATGGTGATGGTGATGATGACGATGATGATGGTGATGATGATGATGATGGTGGTGATGATGACGATGATGATGGTGATGATGATGATGATGGTGGTGATGATGACGATGATGATGGTGATGGTGATGATGATGATGATGATGGTGATGATGATGATGATGGTGGTGATGATGACGATGATGATGGTGATGATGATGATGATGATGATGATGGTGATGGTGATGATGACGATGATGATGGTGATGATGATGATGATGGTGGTGATGATGATGACGATGATGATGATGGTGGTGATGATGACGATGATGATGGTGATGGTGATGGTGATGATGATGATGATGATGGTGATGGTGAGGGTGATGATTAAAAAGATGGTGATGGTGATGGTAATATTGATAAAGATGATGATGATGATAATGATGATGGTGACGTTTATGATGATAATGATGATATTTGTGGCTATAAAAATGTGAAGAACCCTGTTTTCTGGATTGTCTTTTAAAACAGTTGTGGTGCTCCTCATACTTATTAAGGGGTTGGAATTCTGATGGTTTACAGATGGCAGTAGTCGTGATGGTTGTAATAATATAAGTGGTGATGATAATTATGGTATTTCTAGTGATGTTGAAGATGATGATGATGATGATGATGATGATGATGATGATGTTGGAGGTGGTGACGATAATGGTTGTAACAATCAGTATAGTAATGAGTCAATAAAACGATAAAAATTGTCATTCTGCACTTACTGAGGATAAAGAAAATTCATGCATATCGACACAGGAAAAATAAACTTCTTCCCTTCTTCATCTCATGTAACAGCTTGGGAAGATCATCACCTACTCTGACGGAGGGATCCTCCTCCTCTTCCTGGTATCATTCTGCGTCTCCACCATCATGCTGTGTTTCCTCATCAGTGTATTCTTCTCCAAGGCCAACCTCTCGGCTGCCTGTGGAGCGGTCATCTTCTTCCTCACCTACGTGCCCTTCACTCTGGTCATCACCTGGGACGCGTACCTGACAAGAGGAGCCAAGTTTGGGGTGGTAAGTTTGGATCTATCAAGGAACTTGTCCCAAAGAACAGCACAATTGAATTTTTTAAAGAATTAATAGAGGTCATAATCTTTTTCACCATACTCCTTTGGTATCTTTGGAAGACCTCAAAATCTTTGTCTAAGGACTTTCTGGAAAATATTACATGTATCTTCCAAGCTCCTGAAAGATGCTAAGTCCTATATTGTACATTTACATTAATTAGACAACCGTCTTGCTCTCAGCAGACAATATCCAACACATTCATCTTCTTTTTTTCCTTTCGAGCCTAAATTTATATTTCAAATTCAACATGAAGTTCCTGAAAATATGCACGATTTGGACCTTGAGTTACACTGAAGGAACATTAATTGATTTTGATATGATATTCCTAACTTTTTATCCTGTAAATTCTATGTTAAACAATGGTGCACCTGGAGATGGCCCTGGCCCTGGCCCTGGCCCTGGCCCTGGTTTTGTAGTCGTAATAGTGTATGCAGCTATAGAGTCATAAATACACCTTGTAAAAGATTTTGACAATCATATCTGCAACCTGTTTTCTCTTCATTTCATACAGTCTTTGCTGAACACCATTGCATTCGGCTACGGCTCCGTCTACCTGTCCCTGTACGAGGTCCAGGGAACAGGTGTCCAGTGGAACAACATCAATACCAGTCCATTGAATGGGGAGAATGGCTTCACTTTCATGCAGGTCCTAGCCATGATGTGGCTAGATGCATTCATCTATGGAATGCTCACATGGTATATTGAAGCTGTAATGCCAGGTAAAGAGAATTCACATATTTTGCATCAAGTTTAGAATTCTTTTATTCTTGTTCAAATGGCAAGTCATGACCCAAATTCAATTTAGTTTTCTTCAACCATTTTGAATTAGGATCAAACTCTATAGATTTTTATTGAAGTTTATTTCTAAAGTTCTTATCTTAATGTCAAATCTAAAAGGTCCATGGAATAGGACCCTGTTTCATGAAACTTGTTAGCAATAACAAATGCTAACACTCTGTGACAAATTTGCTCCCAGTCAATCGAATGCCACTATGTCAGTACCTTGTATAAGATAAAACTATAATAGTTGTTGTAACTTGTCATTGATAACAAGGTTTATGAAACAGTGCCCTCGCTGTATGTCAATTCTTTGTCTTTGTCTTTGTCTTGCAGGCCAGTATGGAATGCCTAGGCCTCTCTACTTCCCCTTCACACGTAGCTACTGGTGTGGACACGGTAAACCTAACAACACTGATGGAGAAAGCATTGACATGAATCATGCTAGATTTAGAGGAGGTAAGATTGCAATTATCTTATTTCAATCATTGATTTTAGAGTCATGAATTACTTTGGACCTTGTTCAATTTACTCGCTGTGGTAATTACTAAGAAGATACATGTACATGTACTTGACTTTTAATGCAGTGGAGATAGCAAGTTCTATCTTGTATTTTCTGACAGAAATAATGCAAACATTTCTATAACTACATTTGATTATGCTGCAAAAAATTACAAAACTTGGTAAGGGTATGAATAATTAATTTGTTAACTATTATGTACAAAATTTGATATCGGCTCAAATATCCACAAATGTGAAGTACCATTTTTACTGAATGCATTGTATATTTTTCAATGACTACATGTAACTTTTTACCATTCACTTTAAAAATAAGATAAGCTCTCTTGACACTCCTCAGCAGAACTTGTATTTCATTTAAATTAGGGAATCAATAAATGGTATCTCCAGTTTCCTTCCTTTTTTCAAGTCCATTAAAACAGAATATGAAGTATACTGTGGATAATGCTGTAAGCACTTTGATCGGTTACATAACAACTGGCATAGCGATGTGTAAGAAACAGTTATTATTACTAGTCAAGTATGTTCTACATGTGTTGACCATTTCACTTTAAAAAAACATCAACATTAGAAAAGATGGCTCAAATACTCGTCTATTATCTCAATGTCGTACAGCCCCCAACTCAGACGTTGAGGCTGACCCCGCCCACCTACCCCTGGGCGTCGCCATTCGTCATCTCCTAAAGATCTACTCCACCGGTAAGAAGCTTGCTGTCGACAATCTCAGCGTGAACTTCTACGAGGGGCAGATCACATCGTTCTTGGGCCACAACGGAGCTGGCAAGACCACCACCATGTAAGTATTTTTCTGTGTCAACTATTATTTAGAAAACTGCTTGTTTTATTTAATTGAAAGAAATCGTAAGATAAACTAAGGAATACCTTTAAGTTGACATATTTTATTATCAAGTTGAAGGAAAAGGATTGTTCATATTAACTCAGTAAAAAAAAGTAAACAAGTAAACATGTGCAAGCTTGAGTGGACTCAAATCAAATATAAACAATAAAGTTATAGCCCTCATCATAAAAAAGGTTTGTGATAATCGCTAGTCCTCCAGTCAATCACAAAATATGGTTGATGATGAAATCAATTTAAGATCGCTATCAAACTTAAATCTTTGAGAATATGGCTAAGAATAGACATCCAATTATTTGTGAACATGTAAATTCATTGCACTTCAGCATTTTGGGCCAATATATCAATAGATGTTTTCCTAGGATTCATATACTGATTCATTTCTGTGTTACATGCAGGTCTATATTGACTGGTCTGTTCCCACCCACTGAAGGCACGGCATACATCTACGGCAGGGATATCCGTACCAGTATAGATGAGATCAGACACAGCCTGGGAATGTGTCCCCAGCATAACGTCCTGTTTGACAAGTAAGAACACAGTGAATATCGGATTCGCGTGATTGTGGAGTGCCAGGAGTGTCAAATCTGAGAGACATGAGTGCCATACAAGAACTCACTTGTCTTTATTATTACTATTATTATTAATATTATTGTTATTTTCATGATGATGATAATGATGATTTTCTGGTTTTCCTGTCCATGTAATGTATCTTACTTGGCTATCATGTTTCTACCTGTGGTGTGTTTTCTATTTCCTGTCTACTATTCCCATTTGTGATTCTATGTTCATACATGTTTATTTGAAACTTTGTATTTTTATGGAAACAGCCACAGAGTGATTTTTATGTAATATATTTAGATTTTGATTTAATATTTGATTTTCATTTTGTTTCATTAGGTATGATTTATGGTCGTACGTTTTAGTCATTCATATTTTGATCATTTGTTGTGTTGTACATTGACTTTGTAAATTGAGCAATTTCAGCTTCCCAGCTGCATGTTCTTTTATTGCAATAAACCAAATCAAATCAAAATTTGTTTGCCCATTGAACTTTTATGTTTGTGCAAGACCAATAAACTGAAAACTGATGAATTGATTATGTCAATTATATCGTAATCTAGGTTGACCGTAGCGGAGCATCTTTGGTTCTATGCCCGTCTGAAGGGTGGAACTGCCAATGACGTTGCCATAGAGATGGAACAGATGCTACAGGATTTGTATCTTCCTCACAAGAGAGACGAATACTCAGCCAACCTTTCAGGTAAGCTTAGACTATAATCTACATTTATGACATATGACATAGTCAAAGCCTTGTAAAGTCCTGCCTCTGTATTAATGTGTTGATAGAGCTGAAAGGGATGAAAGTTAACAAGGAACAGAAGTTTATTGTAAACAATTACACTTGCTTTTCCAATAATGTATGGTCCATCTGTGTATTGTTCAATATTTAAACTGAAAAAATACAGTGATATAATGGAGGCGAAAGTCAATAAAAGTTATATTCTTTGTATGGAGTACAGGTTCATTGTGGCAAAGAAAAGAAATCCTAGTCTGTAAACTTTCATGGTCCTCAGTAATCATTTAATCATCAACTGCACCAATCCATATGAATATGTTTTTGTCAGACTGCTTTATGATGTGTATATTTTTCCATACTTGACTTGAAATTCAAAGGTCGTGGTTCAATCCTCGATACGGCACTAATGTCCTTTGGCAAGGCATTAATCTTCATTTGCCATACTTGACCCAGGTGAGGTAAATGGGTACCTGGCAGGAATTAATTGCTTGAAATGCTGGAGCGCTGTATAAACGGCAGCTAGGCTAAAGCCGGGGTAATAATAAATGCGCCTCGGAATAGAATTTGTAGATAGATGGCGCTATAGAAATGCCTATAATTATTGTTATTTGTCAATACTAGGTGGCATGAAGAGAAAGCTGTCTATAGCCATTGCCTTCATGGCTGGCTCCAAGACTGTTATCCTGGATGAACCAACAGCTGGTGTGGATCCATACGCTAGGAGAGAGATCTGGGACCTCCTCAGTAAATACAAGACAGGTACGGAAAGGAACATTTGGAGATTCAAAGAGAAGAATATACGTGTAGATTGTGGGGGGGGGGGTCAGACCAGAGATGTGAAGATTATTAGCGATGACAATTGATGATAAATTTGCCGGGTTTATAAATTGGTGATGATTCATATCATAATCTAATGAAGATGGAGATTGTTGAGACAGTCAAACTTGCTTTAGCGACCACCTGCATAGAAAGACCACCTGTCTGCAGAGACCACATTTCTTGTTTCCCTTGAAAATGGTTTCTCATTGAAACACGAACTAAAGGAACCTGTACATAAAGACCACCTGCCTATAAAGACCACTTTTCTGTTTCCCTTGGGTGGTCTTTATAGACAGGTTACACTGTATAAAGGTGTTACAAGATAACATTCATTGATGAAAGACACATTTACACATAAAGGTTTAAGCATAAGAACAGATGAGAAGATATTCAAGGAAATACAGACAGTGGTCATGACAATAATGGGAAGTACATGTATTTACAGATAATGTAAGCGGTCTGACATAAATAGTAGAGAAAACAGTCATCCTTTTTTTTTAAAGAACATTTATAAAGAGATTTAATATTCTTTAGAAAAAGTATATGTAGAGGGTGTGCATGTAACTTATCTTGAGATTAGATGACTTTGTAATTCTTTACAAGTAGTATGACTGTTTTTATTCAGTAGTGTTGAATGTTGTAGCTTGTCGACAAACATATACATGTACATATTTGAGATGATTGAAGTGTGTAGGAGAAAAAAAGATGAAAAGTATGTCATGAAATACATTGAAGTCGTTGTTTAACAATGTTTCCAGTTTCACCAATCTGAGATGCATGGTCCTTCGTGCAATCAGTGTCTGTGATATGGTGTAATATTGAAGCCCTAAAAAAAAATGATCATGAAGTGCTTCAAAAAAATAAAATCTTTGAGCCACCCTTTTTACCATATTCATTTTCCCCAATAGACTGTAGTGTTATTAAAAAAAACTGTTGGGAAAACAGTTTCTGAAATTTCGAATTCCAATTATAAATATCTTGATAATCGAAGATGCAATTTGCTTGTAAAAGTCATGGGATTCATTTCTGACCTTAAGGTTTATAATTATAATTGCCGCATGACCTAAATCTAGGATTTTGTTTAGGATCAGAGGCAAAGTTACCTAATACCTTTAATAAACTTCCATCCCCTCAGGCCGTACCATCATCATGTCTACCCATCACATGGACGAGGCGGACATCTTGGGAGATCGCATCGCTATCATCGCTAAGGGCAAGCTGAGATGCTGCGGATCATCCCTGTTTCTCAAGAGCCATTTTGGCTCTGGATATTACCTGGTACTCACAAAGCAGACTGGTGGATTCGGACACAGTAGGAGCATGGATGAGAAGGATGATGATGTGGCACCGGTAGGTTCTCTTTCTCTTCTTCTTCTCTCCTCCACTGATCTTCGTCTTTCCTCCGTTGATTTTGACCAGATAAAGTTGAGGAATATTCACGTTACCATAAAATTACTCATATTCGTGTTCGAATAATGAATAGACTTTCAAATGAATCTCAAAACATACAAATATCAAGCATACTTTGAACATTCTTATTGTTATTATTTATTTGTTGAATTGTGTTTCGTTTGTTTGTTTGCGTTTCAAATAGCTACCAGTATCTTAGCCTGTAAAAAAAAAATCCTGTGAAGTAATGTACCAAAACCTGCAGCTGTACCCTCTCAAATTGTAGATGGGAGAATATTTTATGCATTGTCATCATTTCTGTGAAATCGTCATGAAATAGAATCGTTGGGATGCGATTGTTCTCCAGAATAGTTACTTTGAAGAAAAACAGGATAAAGTGTTTGGGAGTCAAGCGTACATGTATTTGGAAATGAATAAACTCATTGGTAAAATAGAGTTGTTGGTGTGAGATTGTTCTCCAGAATGGTTACTTTAAAAACACAGGATAAAGTGTTTGTGAGTCAAGCATGTGTATATTTGGAAATGAATAAACTTATTCTCTATGTTTGACCTTGTGACCTGTAGCTTGATCTAACCTCTGGTGATGGTGATGTGATTCATGCAGAGAAAGCCAGTGAAGCGGGTGATGTACCAGGTAAGGGGATCTACATGTACATGTACATCTAGGACTACTCAAGAAAAATTGTCTTTACATGCATATGTCTGCCAGAAAGTCCTGTCTTGGTATATTCCTTCTAGTTCCTAGTCAATGTTACTTTTGGACCTAGGATGAAAACACATTTATATAATCAATTTGGAGGGCTCAAAAACATGATTATAGAAGCAACTAAATATAATTGTGAGTCTTTTTTAAATTTGAAGACAAATGCATGCACATTTATCTTACATGCTATTAAACTTATTATTCAGTTTGTATTGCAACTTCAAAACTTCAGTATTGTCCAAACCTTTAGTTGCAAGAGGTGCGATTTCAACTGAATAGATTTCTTTTGAATTTCCTGTTTATCAGACCTGGGGTACTGCAGTGAAGCAGTCATCACAGCCTTCATCAAGAAGTTTGTTCCCAAGGCAACCGTGGCCGAGAACATCGGCACGGAGATATCCTACCAGCTGCCTCTCACATCGGCTCGCAACCAGCAGCTCTCAAAGATGTTCAGAGAGCTGGAGATGAATATGGATAAACTTTACATCAGCAGCTATGGACTCTCAGATACATCATTGGAAGAGGTCAGTTCATTAGAGGTCAAACAGAGCTGGTATCACTCTACACATTTCAATGAGTATTGAACATGTTGTAGTTCAGTTATATTACCACTCTTGTTTCTTTATTAGAATTTCTAGAAATTATAACATTTGCATGAAAGTTAGTTGTTTCTTCACGATAAGTGGAAAACTCATCTGTTTTGGTAAGCTTTTACTTGCCATGCTTCAGACTTCTTTAGACATATGACATAGCTGGTGCTGATGCAGTACGACAATATTTTTAAGTAACATCACCAATCAAATGAACCTCTTTGTAATAATAACTATTTCTTATAAAGAACCTTATTAGTTACTATGTCATGCAGTTATCATTTTCATGTTCTACGACCTTCCATTTTATTTCACATGTATACTGCAATGCATATTGTCGATTTATGAAATCAATTGATCACCTGTTAAGTAATATGTGAATGCTTGTACAAGAGCACTCCAACCTATATGCAATGTACTTATTCCAATCACACTGTACATGCATATACATGTACATTTTGCATCTGCATAGTCGGAGCCTTTTGGTACAGATTGTGTACATGAATATTTCTTAAAGATAATCATAATGAGTTCTTCTTGTAATCTTCCAACCAGGTGTTCTTGGCAGTGACGGAGGATAATGAGATGGTAGACATGGAGCCAGGAGATACTGACATATCAACGGACGGAGGGAGGTTGCCACGCCCTTTCATGGGGAGGGGCAGTATCAGGAGGAGGCATTACAGGATGCCATCCGCATCCTCCATCAATCTCAGCATCACGGATGAGCACCAAGGGCTGCTCGCAAATGATGGTGAGTTGATGATGATGATGATGATGATGATGATGATGTTGATGGTGATGATGATGATGGTGGTGGTGAAGATGATGATGTTGATGATGGTGGTGGTGATGATGATGATGATGATGATGATGATGATAATGGTGGTGGTGGTGGTGGTGGTGGTGATGATGATGATGATGGTTGTGGTGGTGGTGGTGGTGGTGGTGGTGGTGGTGGTGGTGATGGTGATGATGATGATGAAGATGATGATGATGATGATGATGATGATGATGATGATGATGATGGTAATGGTGATGATGGTGATGGTAATGATGGTGATGGTGATGATAATGGTAATGATGGTGATGGTGGTGGTGGTGGTGGTGATGATGATGATGATGATGATGATGGTGATGATGGTAATGATGATGAGGATGATGATGGTGGTTGTGGTGGTGATGGTGATGATGATCATGATAACGGTGATGACGTTGAAGATGACAGTGATGTTGATCATACATTAGGTAGCTCAAGAGAAGGTGTTATAGAATTGCCTCTGCATCGTCCATCAAACTCGGCACCAAGGGTGAGAATCATGGACTGTTTGCAAATGATGATAATGGTGATAGTGATGATGATTATTGTGAACAGCTTGTGGATTTTTATGTTGATTATGATGATGACAGTAATAATGAAGTTGGAGATGATGTTGGTGGTTAAGATGATTATGATGATGAAAGATGAATTTAACGATACATGTTGGAAGTATCAGAAGACATTATTATATGATGCCTTCAGCCATAGTCTTATGCCTATACATCAGTCTTATGGGCAAATCTGTACCCATCTTCTTCCAACCTTTATTCTCAATCAACCAGTGACTGATGCTGTCCACCAAGAAGCAATGGCCCAGCCTGCCCCGCCCCAAGATGCTTCCGGAGATGGAGACGGGGAAGAGGTCGATGGAGATTCCACTCCCATGGCACAGTTCCAACGTGAACCCATGCAAACTCACAAAGGTATTCAAGCAATGTAGTATTCATCTGGTCTATGTCATCATTCTATTCAAGGCATTCATTCAGTGTGCTCAAATTAGGGGAATATTTAGTACATTTTCAGAAAGTAATTCACTTGACAGCTTATCAAATGTTTGAATGTAACATTTCTTGTAATCAAACACAGACCAAATCATTTCGTAAATCATACTTTCCTTTCTACACCTGTAATACATGTACATGTAGAGAGGATCAGAAGGAGGAAATCAGTGCCTAGAAAAAGAGAGGCAATTATATGGTATGCATCGTATAATAGTTGTTCGACACAGTGATGATGATATTTGCCTTATTGTGAAGCTTCATGTACATGCATCTACATATTACAAGTTATAAATAATACCATTTAATATACATGTGTCATCTTTATAGCAGTAGATACTCAACATGCATTGTAGTATTCCAATTTCTTACTTTTTCAAAAAGGCTTAATACCATCTGTCCATTGTCGTGTTGTCATTTGTGCCCAATTTCCATTTTTCTGTTGCAAACATTTCATCGCCGAGTACAGCTCCAGCAGATGTCAGTAGCTCAGAACCTCAAGGAGCAGTTGCTAGCAGCATACCAGCAAGAGTCAAAGGTCACAATAGAAACAAAGGTCACGCCCGCCAGGTCAGCTTCAGTCAATTGGATGGTAGGTCACAATTATACATCATGCTTTATGTCAATGAAGTCATTTCTACATTTTCTAGCTACTGTATGTTTCATGTACATTACAGGGATATAGATGAATAAAATGTACATTGCAGAGCAAAAAGTCTCAAATTTATTTTATTTTGCTCACTTCTACTTTGCCACTGGCCTATTCTTTCTTTTAGCTGTCACGCTATCCATATATTTTCATACCTGGGAAATCTTATGAACTTTCATTTGAAGTTAACGGTGTGGCTTTCACTTTCATGTTTGTGTTTCTCCTTCTCTACCAATGTGAGTGTGCAATACTGAGTAGACCAACCCTTGCAGATATAAGATTCTGTAAACTTCATTTATAAAATGTCTATGATATAAGATGTTCTTCTGTCTCAAATGTTTGCCTACCAAGTCTATACACTATATACTTGTATAGTTCATTTAGTTGTTACCACTGTGCAAGGGTTTGAGGTACAAGGATGTGATCTTTAAATTTCAGATCATTAATTATAAACTGCATGTACACATAGATATTTTGAAAGTTTTCAACTTTATTTTGTCCACCGTAGTACAAGCAAGTGTAAACAGCTCCCAGACCCCAGATGGTGCAAGTAATGGTACACCAAATGTCATAGGTCAAACAAAGGGCAAAGGTCATGCCCGGCAAGTGAGCTTCAGTCAACAAGAGGGTAGGCAGTGATGGAGAAATCCTATCAAATATCTGCACCGTCCATCATATTAACATTGCCTGCCGACTAACACGAAATGCACCTTATATGTATGGACCTAAACGTGCAAATGTCAAAGATATTAATCAACTACCTATATGAAAAAAAGGCTCATTAGCAAAAGCATGCTGTACATGTATGTATGAAAGAGGGATGAAATTTGATTGTCTCTGAGGCTGGTCAAGTACCGTAGATATCTGAAACATTGAATAGTGTGCAAATGAGCAACTTTGGTTTGAAATGTACAGTCAAACAGTCAAACCTTGAATGTACATGTCACTTGATTTTATTCAATGAGATGGAAGGTATGGCTCTGATTTGTTTAATGTTCTGAATTGAATGTTGTTTTTTTTGTAATACTACTCAACCATTGTTAATCGTTGCTTTCAGATTGTGCAGATTTTGCTGTTGTCTGTATAATGGATGCTTGTTTACAACCTGTCTCTTTGCATCTCTTCATTTCTGTTTTTCACCTGTGTGTGTGACTTTTGTGTCAATCATGTTTAAATCATTTACTTTTTGTTATGTTGCTATTGTTTTCAAGTACACTGCATCTGTTTTGTTTTCATTTATGCTTAACCTCATAGCGTGCCTCTTCACCCTTCACACTGCAAATCTGTTATGCTCTGCTTGCCTGTATGTCCACATATGTGTTATTTTTGCTTGTTGATGATCAGCATTAAAGATTAACTTGAGTTCTGGTAAAACAAAAACAAATTCTCACAGAATCCAACGAAACTTACACTGAATGTTCAAGATTACAAATAAATGACACGTGCCAAACAATTTTGGTAGAAAATGTATAGTGGCTGAGTAATGAGCATAGAAAGAGAAGGAAATCTGGGTAAGTAGGCTGACACCATGTGCATTTGTTTATATTTCACTGGTTCAAACAACCAATCTTCTACAGGATAAACAATCCAGAATAAATCATAGCAATTTTCTCTCTCTCGATACGATTCCCATACCAGAGCTCAAGATTAGTTGTCAATTTTAACATTTTTGCTAGCTATTATGAATATGCATTTTGTATTATATGAGTTACTCTTCACTATTCAAAATGAAATAATTATTCAGATTAAAAAATCATAAATTTACATGCTGTTGGTGGAACACAGATATAAAGCTTGTTTAGATTAATACAATGTTCATGTTTGTGGAATGCAATGTTATTTTTCATTTTTTGTTATATTGCTGATTCTACATTATGATATGATACTGATGTCATTTATTTATCATTCAAGTCTTAAAACCAAAGTAAACCGTATGTACTGCACATTCTTATACATGTACATGTAGTATTCCTTATACAATTACAAATTTTCAATATAAAAAATTTATTCGATATTGCCCCTCAGTAGATGCCCAATATTACAATGCAATCAAGAACATGTTTAGATGTTAGAGCCTGCTACTACTATTTACCACTATTTTTGTTTAATATTTATTCTTATAATGTCTTGTTTGCAGCTACCATCCTTGCTCCTCCAGTCCATGCTCAAGAAGTCTTGGATCTGAGCGACAAGAGAGTGACCGGATTCCAGCTGGTCAGACGACAGTTTGCTGCCCTCTTTTTCAAGAGATTCCACCATGCTCGACGCAGCAAGAAGGGCTTCCTTGCTCAGGTATACATCATCTGCTGAGAGCCAGAGGGGCATTAGCTCATATAACTTTACAGAGACCCTTCTGGCTCTGAAGAAACATTATGCTGTTGATCATTGTCAGCATATCCCACTGTTGCCATCAGTTTATGATTATGAAGATGCGACAGATTCCATGACCCTGTTTCTCAGAGATTTATGATTGATAACAATTACAATAGTATTACATGTACATGCAAGTTTTTTTATCAGCCAAAGCAATTAATGATCTATCTGAATCATAATTGATTGTATTTAATTATGCTTGTAATACGCTATCAGATTTAGAGTTTATCACAATAGCAAAAAAATAATTATGGTTACAATTACAGTCAATTGCTTCGGTCTACCCTCATCTTGTTTTATGAGTGTAAGAAAGGCTGTATTTAAGGGAGTTTTAGATGTTTTATAGTATGAGTACTACAATTCAAATTGCATAAAAGTTGGAGGTTAAAGGTGGCTTCATATGTTAATGAGCGTTCTTGTTAAGGAGTTTTCTTTCCGGTATTCATGAGCACATACTTTAATAGAATCCATGCTATACTGTTCAACAAAGCACACATTTTTACAGCTCTCATGAGACAACTTCTGTTTGCTATGAAACTTTTTTTATCAATGTACACTTCTCCTCTATCCATCCAGGTGATGCTACCAGTCATCTTTGTCTGTTTCTCCATGCTGTTTGCAACCCTGATACCTCCCATCCAGCAACCATCAGCCCTTAGGCTTGTTCCCTGGCTCTACGGCTCAGATAACTATGTCTTCTACAGTCAAGATAACATCAATAACTCTATCTCTGCCAAAATGGAGGATGCCTTGGTCAATGGACCAGGGATAGGTGTGCGATGCATGCCAAACTCTGATATTGGGTGAGTTTTAATTTTAAAGATTATTTTATCAGATGAATTAGGTTCATCTAGCTCAGGTCGCCTTCCTCATGGTTAAAAAGGAGGGTATATAATGCTAGAACATTATTAAGTTGGTGAATTTCCAACTCTGATATTGGATGAGTTTTATTTCAATAAAATCTTATTAGAAAGAAAGGTATGAGGAAGTAGGGAAAGATAACATTTGTCTGTGTCCAAATCAGATATTGGGTGTGTAACATATCGTCCCATTTTTCACGAAGTGACGGTAGTGAGGAAAATCGTCACGCAAATTGTATGCGATTTTCCTCACTACCGTCACTTCGTGTAAATAGGAACGATATGATGAATAAATAGAAATGAATTAACCAGTATGATGAAATAAATTTTAGAAAAATAAATTGATGTATTTGCAACTCTAAGATTGCAGCTTGGAAACTTTGAATCTTGGTTGTCATCATACATGTAGCAGTGCAGATCAACACATATACATATACATATTTGGGTTACAGCAAAGTAGTCATCAAAATAAAATTGCTTTGATTCTGCAGGTTCAATGCAAATGCCTGTTTTTAATTTTGATGGAAATACATTGTAATTGTTGTATTGAATAAATGCTGAGATATAGTTGTACTATGTAGAGTGTATTAAGTGTTAGGTATTATTAGTAGTAGTAGTATCATATAAATTTGAATCATCACTTTTTCTTATTTTTTTCTTTGTCTGCAGTTATCCATGTGAGCCTCACAGAGCGACCGAGTGGGGGAAATCCCCTAAGCCATCCTTCCCAGACTACCTGTACGAGGACTACGAGTCCAGAAATCTCACCTGTACCTGTGATAAAGGCTTCCAGTCATGCGATGTGGGAGCTGAGGGACCGCCCCCACCAACCAGAAGGGAAGCTACCACAGACTACCTGCAGAACATGACCAGTGTGAATGTCAGCCACTATCTGGTCAAGACCATGGAAGATTTCATTCTCAATAGGTAGGTCCAAGTGGTTCAGGATCTTTAATTATTTTATTTTATTATTTATTCGGCACTTTCAAGAAATATAACAAAAAAAAACAATATATTCATGGTGATTACAAAATTTGAATGACACAAGTTATACAAATACAAAGTTTTGTAGCAATATTCTGAGTGCAAAAGATGGTGGCCAGGGAAGAAGAGAGCAAACTTAATCATTGTAACCATAATGGTCCCTCCGCCCAACCAACTGATGTACTCAGGCTTAGAAATACAGATATTTCAAGAGCAGGTTTACATAATATGGATTAAAAAAACAAGTTCATGTTCCTGTGAAGTAGTAGATCTTTACACTCTCAAAGCTCTGGATTACTTGATCTTCTTAAGCAAAATAGTAAGCAGGGGAGAGAATGTTTGCCAATCCAGGGCATATGCTGTGGAATGCTCTCTCTCTCTCTCTCTCTCTCTCTCTCTCTCTCTCTCTCTCGAGGGACGAAATAACATATACACCAGCAAACCGTACAAAGTAACTTCCATCTCTTGTTCTCATTATTCTAGGTTTGGTGGGATGAGTTTCATAGAGGACAACGAGGATGCGCTCATCTCAATCAATCAGAGCAGGCAACTCATCGGAGAATGGATGAGAGGAAATGTTTCTACCGTTCCAGGAGATGGTGATCCAAATAGGGTGAGTACTCAGCACAGTTTTTATTTCGTTTTAAAGGCATCGTTTAACAATGTTAAATCTGAGATGCATGGCCCTACGTGCTATCAGTGTTTGTGATATGGTGTACTATTGAAGCCCTAAAAAAAATTGTGTTTCAAAATGATAAGGAAGTTTCTCAAAAAAGTTAAAATCTTTGAGTGACCGGTTGAACCATACACATTTTACCCAATAGACTGCTGTGTTATGAAAACCGTTCGGAAAACGCAAAATTTAATTTTGATTTCCAATCATAAATATCTTGATAATCAGATAGGCAATCAGCTTGTAAATTCATGGGATTTATGCATGCCCTGAAGGTTTATAATTGGAGCAAGAGCTAAATCAAGGATTATATTTAAGGATCTGAGACATAGTTACTGGATCCCTTTAAATCAGAAAAAAGGATGTCTGTTTTTGTGTAGATAATAAGAAATGCATTAACAGGGTTTGGTGTAGTGTATGTATTTGTAGTAGTTGCAATGTACTTTTAGATCGGAAATTTGTTTACTACACACTTCTGAGTTTTATCCAAGGAACTATTTTAATCAAAATGGTGACTCCCATGAGAGAAAGGCTAGCTAGGAAACTGCAAACTTTGGAGTGATTGTTTTCCATGCTAAGTAATCAAATGAGAGTAATTACAAGATATTTTACTGGCTCACAGCTTTTAATAAGAATGTTAGCTAACAATTGTTGGGTTTTATTCTCGTTTTTAAAAAAAATTGTAAACATACGTGAGAAAGAGGCTGATAGATTAAAGTGAAGTTTCAGATAGACATCTATTTTCATTCAGAACCACAATAGTGCTTTATGTATTTATATTATATGAATGAACTTGTGTCATGGTGATTCACATTCTCTTTGTATTTTATTTCAGGAGTTCCTCCCATCCTCAGACACAATCCGTGAGGTGTATGAAGTTCTCACCTCCCTTACTACACCATCTAATGTCAAGGTAAACTAATCAAAACCTATGCAATGATTATTCTGTATCATAATACTTTTGTTGAGGTGTAGACCAATTCCTCAACAGGCTACATGTATGAGAACTTTATGGCCGTTTTCTTGAGAAAAGTGATGTGTACAAGTAAGCATAACTGTTCAATACAAGTTGGAAGTCATTTCTATTGTTTTTGTAATTGTACATCATGTTATCAAAGCTATATTTTATAAGGGATTATATATTTCCTTCTTTGTAGGGTTTTTATTTTGAATAATTAGATAGTTCAACACAAACTGTTTCAGCCACAGCTAAGTGTTTGGATTATAGGTTATATGTAAACCAGAACTTCTACAGAAAGAACCTGTATTGTTGGATGTTTTATTGAAAATATGCAATCTACAATGGACATGTCCGTCTCATTTAGAAGGTCCTTTAATTCTTCAATTTTCAAATACTCCCTCTCTCATCTTCTTATCTTTAGGTTTGGTGGGATAACAACGGATGGCATGCACTGCCCATCTACATGAACGTGATGAACAACCTGCTCCTGAGGGCCCATATAGATTCAGATAACAGCAGTCAGTACCACGGTATCACTGTCACCAACCATCCTATCAACTTCACGAGCTCTCAGATTGATGATGAGATCAGGTAGGTTCACCAATGTGGAATCAAAACTGCTCTAGAGAAAAGTTGAAATGTACATGTGTAATTATAATAATATGTCTCGTTTACCCAGGGTAGCCTCATCAGTATTAATACTGTTCTCCCTGAGGACCCTGCAATTATATTATTACCCAGGGTTTAGCCGAGCTACCATGAAAGGCGCTCAAGCCATAAAGGAATTTCTTCCTACCGAGTACCCATTAAACGCACCTGGGTGGAGTGTGGCAAATTTAGTTTAATATCTTGCCAAAAGACATCTGTGCCAAACAAAACAGAAAATCTGTCATCCATTTAAGATAATATATCTAATTACCAACACTTTTTTCTCTAATCCAAATCTGCAGGTCCAAATCATCAGTCAATTTGGCGGTGGCCATGTTTGTCATGTTTGCGCTAGCCTTTGTTCCTGCCAGCTTTGTAGTATTCCTGATCAGCGAGCGTACCTCCAAAGCCAAACATCTTCAGATGGTCAGCGGCATCAATCCCACAGTCTACTGGATAAGCAACTTCTGCTGGGATATGGTAAGCACTAGTATCATGAAATTTTAGGCTTCCTGGGAGAGATTTCAATTGTTGTAAAGAAATTGTTTGGCTTGCACCCAGTAGATAAAGATCACATGCTCCCTTTTGTAATTGAAAACAAGTCAGAAAAAATCTTGGAACCAGCGGTAACCATTTTGTATCTGTTCGACCCTTTATTCTGCTAATAATTTTTTGTTGTTATGTGGCGCAAATATTTTGAAATGATTTTTGTGAAAATACTAGCAGATTTCTTGTCTCTGACAGATTAGGTTATAACTGCTGACAGAACTACAGTGTATAGCATAATTTGAGAAGACTGTACGGGCGTGTAAAACTGCAAAAACTTACAAAGTGCCTTTGCTCTTTTAGTTTTCAGTATCCGTTTGTTCTGGATCTGCCTGGCCCTCCCTCCTTATCTATCTATCTACATGTATCTATCTGCATGTATCTATATCCATATTTTATCCTATCTTTTTCTTTCTCTCTCCACGCTAGTACATTGTACTTTTAAATGGCATACTGTATATACCATTCTGGCAGTTTCCATTATTTTTGTTTTCTCTATTTAAATTTCAAGACCTAAACCAGAGAAAGAAGTGTAAATGTCTTTCTTGACCTATCAATTCTACCTTGAAAGGAATTCTCTCTCAGACAAGCACTCATATATATCCTCCATTTCTCCTTCCATCTTTTCTTTCCTGTAATCAGGTTAACTACATGATACCAGCCATCCTGACGGTCACCATCTTCCTCGCTTTCAGGATGACGGCCTTTACCAGTGGTGATAGCTTACCAACCGTCATCCTTCTCTTGGTGCTATACGGGTAAGAAAATCTGCATTTTTCAGTCCGGGATGAAATCATCCTTACCATACATGTGTATGTATCAAGGACATTTGGATGTCCTTTTAATGATCACTTGTTCTGATGAAGCTCCGTTAGACATCTTCTATTCAGTACCATCATCAATACATATGAAATGAACCTTGTGAACATTAGCTGTAGTTAAAAGTGGTTACAATGACCAGTTTTTATGGGAAAGCAATGTTTTGGGGTTTTGATAATTATTGCCAATTTGAGGATTTGTATTCTTCATTTCCCTCTTGAAATAATTGGCATTAAACAATCTTGCCTCTTAATTCTGTAATGTATGTATACGACCCGGGCCATGTACAAAGCTTACCAAACAATCATACGATTGATTTTTGGGATTGATTGCATTGATCACTATGCACAATCAATCGTATGATCAATTACTAAGCTTTGTGTTATGGTGCCCAGTAAAGATAATCCTGTACGATTCATTTGTAATGGAAACGTAATACATATATTCTTATGACTACATTTGCAAAACAAATTAATGATGGTTAGTACTTTTTAATGTATATCGTCCGAAGGCAAAAGGGAAGTCTTTGTGTTTGTCAAGTGTCCGGACACCCAGCCCCGATCACATATGTAGTCATTAGCATTACGATGATATAATTTCTTCTCTTTCTTTTGTTTGATTACCCCAGCTGGGCCATCACCCCTATGACATATCCAGCAGCGTTTGTATTCCAGGTCCCCAGTACTGCCTACCTCTCCATGGCATGCGGTAACATGCTTGTAGGCATCACCACAGTACTATCTACTTATATTCTAGACTTCTTGGGCAGAGATGATGAGGTGAGTGTTAGATCTTTTTAGATAATAATAAGAATACTAGCTAGTTCTTATATAGCGCTTTTCTGCACTGCAGGCACTCTCAAAGCCCTTTACAGATATATTATTACACCGGTTATCGGATTCAGGCTTACCTGCACACAATGTATGCACATTCTCCACTCCCTGTTTGGTTGGTCGGTTGGTTGATTGTTTATTGTATGTGTTTGTCTGTGGTCTGTCTGTCTGTCTGTGGAAGGTGACAGATCTATTGAATAAGAAGGCTTAAGATAGAGAGGGATGGAGAAAGAACTCAAGAAGGCTGTGCTGTGTGGATGTGCCTTTGGCAGAACACCTGACAGAGAGAGGGGCTGTCTGTATTTGTGCTTTTTTGCTGGAGGACATATACATGTACAATGTGTGGGAGGTGGAGGCTAGGCTTCTTGCTTTATGTAATCAATGCCTACAATCAGAAAATCAAGACTATCGGGCTTTAGTATTACAGCTGTTTTTCAAAATGAAAGTATGGTTTGTCCATTATGGATCTGTTTTCCTCTACACTTTTCTATGGATACTTTTTCTTTGGGTTTCTTTTAGTACCGGCAGATTGAAAGCAAAAGTGGATAGGAAATAAATGTTTATGAATAAGATTTCGAAAAGTATGTACTATTCCTCTGTACTCCCTGTCTAGTTGAATAAGCATGGAATTGGTTATTTTTTGTTTTAATATTGTATAAATTCAAGATGTTCTGTTCTTGTAATGCTTAAATCTTTTCATACAATTACTCTGTATATAGGATCTGTGCTGTTATGCACAACTCCACAATATTTTTTTTTTTGGAAGAGGTAATGATTGAACTTTTTAGAGCAGGTATGCTCGAGCCGTATGCAAAAGTTTGAGAATTTTGGGGATCCGAAATTAGATTTTGACCACCCTGGGGGTGTTTCACAAAACCTGTCATCAGTGACAAATGACAGTTTTTGTTATAAGCTACTGAAATCCTTGCTTCTGATTGGTTATCAGCAGATTTGTCACTGATATTTGTCATTTGTCATTGAGAAAAGGCTTTGTGAAATGAGTCTTAGGTGTCCCAGGCACCTGTTAGTGTTGAGCCCTGTGGTGTGCTTAATCTTTCATTCTATTCTTGTTGTTTGATTTCAGTATCTACAAAATGTGAATGAGGTTCTGAAGAAGGTGTTCCTGCTCTTCCCTCCATACTGTCTGGGGCGTGGCCTGATGGACATGGCGTCTAATCAACTCATGGCAGATGTACTCAGTGAATATACAGGTCAGTCTTGTGCAAAACTGTTACTGACATGTACACATAGAAGAAAGTGAATGGGGCTCCATTATATAGACTTTTAGCTGAAAAAGAACAAAACACCTATAAGGTCCCCATTACACCAAAAGCAATTTACAACACTGGTATCGACAAAGTGCCGTACAGTGGAGAGTAAAGAAAAGGGGAAATCAATTTATAAATCGCTTTTTAAAAACATTACATGGTTTATTACCTTCTGTACTACAAGTAAATTTACAATGTGCATTTTGTCAATTAGAGATCAATTGTATTTCACAGTATTTTTCATGCACATTTATGTTTACTGTTGATGACTTATATATGACAAGAAGTTACATGTATAAACGCATACAAATAGTTTTATTGAAATGCTTTAACTTTTGTAATTGAATATCATTTGTACTTTTTCTTTTTGTTTTGTTTGTAGATTATGTTGCACCTGATCCATTGAAGTGGGCTCAGCTTGGCAAGAACCTCTTTGCTCTCTTCATTGAAGGTTTTGTTTTCTTCATTCTCACCCTCCTCATTGAGTATAGATTCTTCATTACACCCAGGTAAGCAGTGATAGCAGGAGTGGCTCTAGAATAATAATTGGGGGCTTTCAAGGTGTTTTCATTTTTGTTTTGTTTTTATGAGGGGGGCTGGGAGGGCTTTGGATTTCTTGTATTAATTTTCTACATGTGCCTCACAATTATTTGGGGGGGGGGGTAGAGCAATAATATCCAATGATATCTTGTTTAAGATAAAATTCTGCTGTATATGGCCTGACTTTGAAAAATACAGATTGTTTTGTGTAGTTATGAATATAGTCTAAATTAATATACTTCTGATGGTATGTATTCATTCATTTTGTATCATTGTTCTTGTTGCCATGTCAGGCAAGTTACTCCTACACCTACCCTCTCTGAGCAAGATGACGATGACGTTCAAAGAGAGCGACAGAGGGTTCTCACAGGACGGGCAATGAATGATGTCATCCGCATTGAAAACCTCAGCAAAGTAAGATTCCACATTGTTAGATCCAAAGTTATACATGTGAATGGGTTTCTCATTGACAAGAGAAGAACATAAAATGTAGTTACATGATGTCAAGTTACTAGACAGTAAGCAATGAATTTGATCGTGAAATTTGAACTTGCTGTGTAAAACATCAATTTCATTGAAAGTATGAAATGTGTGTGTGTGTGGTCTTTTTAAAAAGTAGAAAAAGTGGTCACAAACTTTATAGTGACACTGTTGAAAATATGTTATAAATGTAGATTTTATATTCAAGTTTTTGATTGTTTGTTAGCTCTTGAGTATAGAGTGGGGGCCTTTATTTGCCCCCACTGTGCCAAAAGGTAGTTCAATAAAGTTCAAGTTCAAATTTCAAAGTTAGTTTTACCTAGTTTGTTCTGTCTCCTTCTCTTACTCTCTTTCACTTTATTACCCCTTGTGTCTATTTTTCCTCTCTCACTCTTTCTCTCTCTCTCCGTCCATCTCCATCTATCTTATAGGTTTACAGTACTAGTCGAGGACCAATGACAGCAGTGGACAAAATGTGTGTGGGCATTCCAAAAGGAGAGGTAAGCTATGTTTCATTTTCTTCTATTCTGAATTTCAAAGACTTTAGCTTACGGTAATTAAATAATTGTAAATTTATTGATAGTGTCATCTTAATTCATTATATTCATTTTGATGAAAAGTTAAGTCCAGTATATTTTCTATAGTAAAAAGTCATGTATAGGCATTATTTGATTGATTGTATTAAAAAAAATTATCAGTAAACCGGTATTCATAAATTCGTAAACTTCTACTACCAAGACAAAATTATTTAAGGTTACATTTCTTTGAAAAGATAAATGTTTTAAGATCTATCCTAGTAACTAATTTATCTCTTTTTATATGCATTTTATTCTGCAGTGCTTTGGTTTGCTGGGTGTCAACGGAGCGGGCAAGACAACCACCTTCAAGATGCTAACGGGTGATACCAGCGTGACCAGTGGGACCGCTCACATCACTTCATACAGTATCCTGGATGCTATGCAGGATGTGAACAGGTCCATGGGTTATTGCCCACAGTTCGATGCTCTGGATGAGCTCATGACCGGTCAGGAACATCTGGAGTTCTACGCAAGGGTCAGGGGGGTCATGGAGGAGGAGGTCCCGAAGGTAGGTCAAGTTCAAATCCAGGAACTGAGCAGTAATTGATTTGACCTCCCAGAATGGCATTTCTCAAATTCATCTCCATGTATCTTTTAGAGTTTTCTAGTCTCTGTTAATGCAAAGCAAAATACTCCCAACAGAGGCAGTTTTATTTACCGGTGGTCAAATATTTGACCCTATTAGTCAAGGTCATCAACAGGAATTGAAACTCTCTGATTTGTATTGTATCCATGACTGATTAATGTTATTGGACTTTGAAACTGCAGCACACATTTTGTAATTTTAGAGTTTTAAGTTTAGATTTTTTAAAGATTCTCTAAAATCCCAATTGCTTTCCAGTAGATATACATGTATTGTTATTTCATTTTTCCATTGTTTTATGTTCCCACTTTTTTTTTCTCCATTGTGCCTTGAGCACAGTAATATTGATCTCGTTCAATCCACTAAAGTCTCAAGTTCTATCGTAAATCTTTCATGAAACATCAGGTTGCTGATTGGGGTATCCGCAAGCTTGGTTTGACGGAATACAGAGATCGATCTGCAGGGACGTACAGCGGAGGTAACAAGAGGAAGCTCTCTACTGCTATTGCTTTGATCGGAAACCCACCTGTTATATTCCTGGTAAGTCAGATGATGGTAGTCATTTAGTTCGGATATATGTTGATGCAATCATCAGATACATATTACTGCATTACCCTATGGTTCCATGGAGGGCCATGTGAAATTTTCTTAGGTGATAAGGACTAGAAAATTGCTATTTTAAACAAAATCCACTGATAATTTATTTACTGAGAAGTGAAAACATGCATATTTTGTTGTCATATTTTGCAATGAGAATATAATATAGCTGGTTTTAGCTTTACACTTGTTAGCCGTTCATGGTACATTTTTAGAAAACATTTTTATCAGCTACATGTACCTTGATAGATCGAGATAACTTTAGACAAAAAAGTGATTTGAACCTAGAATTTCCTTATAGAAAATCAGTGTACCACGGTAACTCTTCTTCTGTATACTACAATTCATCCTCCCTATCCCCTTTCCAAACTCTGTGTTTATTGATTGTTTTTTCTTTCTCTGATGTCCTAGGATGAGCCGACTACAGGGATGGACCCCAAGTCTAGGAGGTTCCTCTGGAACTGTATCACAAGTATAGTCAAGGAAGGCAGATCAGTGGTCCTCACCTCACACAGGTATTATACTTATAACCTCTGCCTTTCTCATATTACCTGATACTCATACATGTATCACCTGACACTTTTTACCTCATGTGGAATCTACAAATCATGTGACTTTTTGTTCTTCCCACAGACAAATTACAAATTATTGTCCATAAATCACTTACAAAACTACAAGAGTGCATTCTTAAAGAGGGCAGTACGTACACTGTGACATAGTAAGACAGCATACATGTAAATTTTTATTTTTGTCTTAGTGTTTCGTATGAAATGGTAATTTTCTGCTTTTAGATGATCTCAGCAGATTTGAATAAGAAGAAACATAATCTTCACGAGAATTTGTATAAAGATATAATATAGCAAGTCATTAGGTTTATATTGAAAAGAATTGGAAGAAAGACATTATCTCTTGTTTATGTGTTCGTTTATTTGTTTGTTTGCAGCATGGAGGAATGTGAAGCTCTATGTACCAGGCTAGCCATCATGGTCAATGGTAAATTCAAATGTCTAGGGAGCACTCAACATCTCAAAAATAAGTGAGTATTTCATCTTAAAGCCACACTGTCCTACTTGTCGCTACTTGCTCCCTCTACCGGTATATAAAAAACAATGCCTAATCGGTGACCATTAGTCCCCCATGATCCTCTTTTTCTTATGTTACTTGAAAGCTGATTTGATGAGATAACCACCTGTCCAGTGACCTTGCAGGGCGGTCTAATCCCTCCTATAAACTAGTACAGATAAGCTTTAACACATTTAAAATATTTCTTTCATCTTAATGTAAAAAATTCAATTCCTAATGTGTATATTTTAGGATATATTTTAGAGGCGAGTCAGTACATTTTCATGGCAAATTGTTTAATTTTGTTAGATGAATGTGTGGTTTTCTTTTCGATGTTGAAAAGAAAAAAGTTTGTGTAGGCTATTACTTGAAGGTTAGATCAGTAAGCTTGAAACTGGCTTGTCCAGAATATTGAACTTAGTGTCTGTGCTATATTGCTCTTCAAAATATTAATTGATTCTTAATTGATGTGTAACTGTATCCTTCAAATACATATTAAACCTAAAGCAGAATTTCCATGTTTGGGGGGGGGGGGGCATCTAAAAATAAATCCAGTCCATTCAAGCATCAAACTCAAATTAAAACTAATAATTTCACTTCAATCTCTCCTTATTTTCTTACCAAGATTTGGTGATGGCTACACCCTAACCATCCGATTAGGAGGGGAAGTCCCACAGACTGCTGCCCTCATTGACTTCATGGAGGTGGAGTTCCCGAGCGCCAATCTACGAGAGCAGCACTTCAACATGCTAGAATTCCAGCTCTCATCCTCAGACACCATCCTCTCCAAAGTCTTCCAGTATCTTGAGGATAAGAGGTCAAGGTTCAATATCGAGGATTACTCGGTCAGCCAGACCACGTTAGACCAGGTGAGTAGTCTCCAGGCATAGACCTTTGAAAGGGCTAGTACGATAGTGGAGGGGTTGGAAGCTAGAAATCCAATCACATTTTCCTTTGCATCTTACCGGGTACCCATGTAGCACCTGGTTGGAGAGGAGCAATGAAGAGAAAATGCATTGAAGTTAAACACACACAAATTTGAAGAGCTTTTTATCCCTTTAATTAAACAAAAGTTGTGTCAGTGTCAAAATAGAGTGTGTGCTTGAAGACTAATACTAGATACCCCCCCCCCCTTTAAGCTTGCTGTTCTCATCATGAAACAATTCAGAAATGTCATAAGTTTTAAAAATAGATACTGTATAAATTATTTCAATTTATTCATATGGTTGATACATGTATGCAGTGCATGAATATCTGTATGTAGTAAAAAAAAAAAAATAATAATAATTAAGTCTTCTTTGTTGAGGTTATAACATTTTTCTTCATTAATATTAGATAAAATATCGATCTTTGAATAATACATGACCTTGTCTTATCTTTCCAGGTATTCATCAACTTTGCCAGCCAGCAGAGGACTGGAGATGAGACTACGGTGGAGTTGACTCTGTTCCCACCTGCAGCTAATAACGTCCAAGCTAACAATAGAGTAGCGCTTTCTACAGGTGAGAACCCAAACATATTAGTGATCTTTTGATTTGAATGGTGCTTGTGTGCAGGATTTCAAATTCAAACCACAGTGCTTGTACAAGCCACATTACCAGATACAGGCTTGAATTTGATTTTTGAAAGATAGGAAGCATAATCATGATGTTATCAACCTCTTGTAAATTTTGTATGGGAATTCTGAGTCGGAGAAGAAAAAAGAAACATCAGTCAACGTATATGTTTACACATGTATAATTCAAGAATTCTGAACGGGAAGTCTTCAAAGTAAATAGAAGACTCTTTAGATTTTAACCGTTCGGACTTCCCTACAATCCATGGATTTCTCAACTTTCTATATGAGAGGAATGAATACCTTGCAACATCAATACAAGAAATGTTGTACATGTACATGTACATGGTGATGTATGTGCCTGGAGGTGGTTTGATAATCATTGCCTTTAATAACTTATACATATATGTTTTATTTCTTTGTTCTCACAGATGGAGCTTCAGCCCGTTACATTCCAACACCTCATGAGCTGACCAGTATTAATAGCAACGATGTCCCTCTCCAACCAAAGAACACCAACATGAGACATCAACGACAACGTAGCGGTCAGCTAGACAAGGTCATGGTCAACTCCCTCTTCTCTACCCCGCCCCCTCAAGCTATGGCCGCCTCGTCGCCCGTAGCAACCGCACATCCTCAGAACACCAATAAGATTATGACGCAATATTCAGGCTACAACAACCCGATGTACGACAGCAACGGCCCACCGACAGAACCGGTACTCAGGTTCGCATCGGCCGACTCGGGTGTAACACGTGAGGGCGGGCTTCAGATGGATGAAATCGATCTATCATCTCAGTGTTAAAATATAACGACTTATTTAAAGCATTAGCGCCTTGACTTTCTGAACACCTAATGGTGTGTGACTGAGTACTACAGTAGAATTCTTATTGACTTTCGCGGCCGAGAGTTGGCTCTTTCAGAAAGATTGGGAGTTTTATTCACCTGTATCACAGACATTGTGCCAACTTGACTTTGTTAGATATGCTCTTTGCTTCTAGTATACGTAGCCCATCATTCTGTTGCATGATTTCTGCCTCCTAGCTCTTTCTGCAGGAAACCATTACTTTCTATTTTTATATGACTAATGCTACTATCATTCGTCTTCACTGCAATATTCTTTTTTAAATGAATATTTAATCGTAACTTGCAGGTGCAATGTGTCTGTATGCATATTTGCTTGCATTACATTTTGTTTTATCACTACATGTGCAGCAAAGTGTGACGAGCGAAGCACTGAAAGAACTTTGAATAGAGCATGTAAATGTATATTTTACCTTATGAATTTGATATTGTTGTCTTTTGAAACCAGAATACCACCATTTATTATATCATCACTTTAATTTCTTCCACATCAAAATGGTATTTATTATGAGTCAGCTGTATTCATGCGCAATGGAATGTATGTATAAATGGATTTAGATTTTGACAGATGTCATATCATTTTTATCTGATGCGTTTTAATGCTGCTTTCTCAAAAGCCTGAACGTGCTGCATACAGATGTACAATCTTTACAATATCTAATATCTCTTTTAGTAGTTGGGACACTACCTTTCCTGCTACCAAAGCTCTTCATTATCAGGTATCATAAATTATCAGTTTGGACCGAATTACCCAGTATTAAAAAGCCAATGTGATTCTTATTATCCATTCCAATTTGATCATTAACGTTTTTTTTCTTCCAATTATTTGCTAAAGCACACTGTATGATCAATCTGTACAATAGCAAAATTAAGGTGTAATTAATTATGATGGATCATGGCGAGTACATTGATCCTGTATGAAATTCTACATTCAAATCTAGCTTGTTGAACACTCAAGACTCATGCCTTCTTGATTCTTCTATCATTCCACAAAATTGGCTGATGTTAGGCTTGAATTTAGTCCTCAGGTACCGGTATTCAAATTTTGACCAAATCTTTTATCTGAATATCTTAATTACTCAGGAAATATTAGATAATGCCCTATTAGGTTTGTATTATTAAAAAGTTAATTCATACTTGTACTCTAGGACTAAGTTTTATTTAGATCCCAGAAACTGTTTCTTTTCTCTTGATTTTAGCTGATGAATAGCAAGTTACCAGCATTTCTAAATTGCTGCAAAATTTATATCCTTTGTGAGTGATTCATCACAGATAGCAATGATCTTTGGCCTGAATTTGGAGTTCCTTTCAGACCCATGTATGATCCCTGAAATTCTTCTTGGAAAGAAAATAAAAAATACAAAATGGTGAAAAAATTCAATACATTTTTATTTTGCGCTTACAAAATTAAATATTATCTTTAAAGTCTATCTGTACTAGTTTGGCCATGAGAGATTATACCTCCCTGCATGGTCACTGACAGGTGGTTAACTTATCAAATCAGCTCTCAATTAGCATAAGAAACACGGGATCTTCGGCTACCGCTTAGGCATTCTTTGTTACGTAGAGGGCGCAAGTAGCTACAAGTAGTGCAGTCCCCCTTTAAAAGAGCAATTGTGGTTATGATTTCAAATGATATGAGGGCAAGCACTACACTACTACAGTATATCTAGCTCATATGTACAGTTGAGCAAATAGTTGATAAACTATGTTATATGTTAGTCTATTTAATGAACTATTACATATTGTGAGATCTCATGAATTGACAGCTGCGACAAAGTCTTTCTTTCATCGTGATTGATTGGTAGTGTGTGTATTTGCAGTCTGCTTCAACTTGTGCTGCACTGGAATACCAAAATGCTGTACATAGAAATGAGCAGTGCACTGATATGGTTTTAAGGTTACAATAAATATACATACTTATCTTTGCTAAACGTAAATCTCAGTTGTAAGATTATTTTGCTTGTAATATTCTTTCAGCGATATCATGGTTTTGGAATCCACTCGATCTTCTGCAGGCGCATACTTGTGTGTAGAGTCTTGGCGTTGTAAAGCAGAGACCATTGTATGTGAAGAGCTACTGTCACGGAGTGAACGGTGGTTTTCTATTTCACGATAATGCCATATTTGTATTTACAAGAACATTTTCACAAAAGGACATTTCATTGTCTTGTCTGCCTCTGTGTGATAGCTTTTTAACTCGTTCATGGTTTTATCTACCGCAATGTTTATTGACATCGAGGATGCTTTTATTTTGTATATAAATAATCTGAAATCATGTATAGCATTCTACTGAATGTCATCTCATGGAGAGTGAACTAAGAGGTTTTGCTTCATTATTGAAAGTAATGGCATTGTTATTTTCTTTCAAATGAGGGAAATAATTGTAATCATTACTATTTTTTAATATAATTTTTTTTGTTCCAACTCTATCAATCATGGCAATATAATGATATGCCTTCGTAATTACATTTACTACTCTTTCTGTTGATGGTATCTCTAATACCCACCTGCCGTTGTCATACATGTACACGTATCCTGTGAAATACTTGAAGTATTATAAGTATGATTAGGACAGGGACATGTATATTTATGTGAAACATGTACGCTCATTGTGTATCAGGGTCCTCCATCATAAAGCATGTGCTAAATACCAACTAACCATATTGCAGTATAACCAAATAAGTGTGTTGATACGAGACCCTGAAGCTTTAAATGTCAATTTAAGGTACGAAATATGTGCAAATGAGTTCAGAGAAGTGTAGCAGTGTCTTCAAATAAGGTAGTTTGAGAATGATCTTGTAATCACGGCGTGTACATATTCTGTGAACGATCACAGTGGTATTTTATGCATGCTGATTACTTGAATGTGTAGCAGTACTTTGTAGGTGAATGTGTGTATTGTATTTATTAAGATTTCAAATGTTATCATGTGTGGATAACGTTTAAGATAGTGTACCTTGATTGCAATGAAAATTCATGATAAAGGGACTTGGAGATAGATGTCCATCTTTTTCAAATATTGGTTTTTCTGTCTTTACAGAATTTTATTTTTCGTAGCTCTATTGAGATTTCTGTTAGTGGAACATGTCTGATGTAGCAAATGTTGGAATTAATCTCTAGCGGCTGCAGCCTGTGCAAAGTCAAATTGGCAACCTTTTATTCGTATTTTCTAAATGCTTCACCGTTGTCTGTTCCTTGTTGATAGGGCAGGCAATGTGGCCCATTTTTGCAAAATTTGCCAAGGTAATTTTTACCATCAGATTTAAATGTAGCAGACATCTGGCTCGAGTGAACTACAAGTAGATTTTTTTTCTTCCTTATTTTGACAAATAGTATTTTCTCATTTTTGTTATGTTATTGAGAACTCTTTTTTTAATGTTATTTATGTACTGATTTGTCGTAAAGAATATTGCATGACATGGGTCGTCACCACTTCGACGTTTGTGCAATTTTCATGACTGATGAGATTGCTTATAATTAATGAAACAAGCAAATTGATTTTCCGCACCAGGAAAATTCAAGCTTAATGTATATGTGTGTAATATTAGTTTGAAAAAAGTGATATTTTTGATAAATGATTGAAATTACTAGAAGAGTCTGCTGGACAGAATGAATCAGGAATGATCGTAAAGCGATTGTTCAACTTTACCATGAACATTTTTAATACATTTTAGTGTTTAAGGGACACAATTATGTCTATACCATAAACCGTTATAATGAGTAATGTAACAATGAAGCAAATGTGCATGTACATCATATTTAATTTTATGTAGCTTTTAATATATTATCTGTGAAGAACAGAAAGTACTTCACTAGATTTAATTCTTTTTTTTTTATAAATATGTAAAATAGTTGCTGTAGAAATACTTTTAAAACTCAAGATTGTAATATTATATATAAGACATAAACATATAAATCTTTGTAATATGATAGTAAATGCAAGTTATATACATGAAATGGTAGTGCTTTGTAATGGCTAAATGCTTGACAATTATTTTCTGTAGATTTTCTTCAGCATGCACGTAATGATTACTGTATACTACTCTGCAAGTACATGTACAATCAAACCTGTATACTAAGGCCACTCAAGTGAAACAAAGAAAGTGGCCACTGTAGACAGGTGGCCTTTCTAAACATGTTCTACAAGAATTTTGAATAGAATTTTTGAATTTTGAATATGAAGGAAGTCCCTTCGTTTATTGACCATTTAAAACAACAAAATATACAAAACAACAATACAATAGAAGAATGATATCAAATAACAACAAACAAAAGTAATAATGGTCAGGGTCCCTGAGAAGCAAGACTGCTTGTAGTCGGGACCCTATATACAAGTACATTATAACATTAATATAAATTTAAATGCACACGCACGCATAACAAGCAAGCAAGCACACGCACACACACACACACACACACAAACACACGACAGAATGGAGCAAAGATATAAGAGGAAGGAAAAATACAAGATAAAGAGCTACGAAGAGAGATCGAGATTATTTAAAGAACTGAATAAACGTAACTTACACAATACTTTAAATCTGGATAGTGTTGTGCTATTTGTAATGTTACTACTTAACAAATTCCATTCATACACCCCTGTGAATCTAATTGAATTGCGATACAATACACATTTCTTTCTCAACTGGGACAAAATGCAAAGCCACTGTGTTGACAGGTGGCCTTTATGAAGTAGGGGTCCCTAAGACAGGTTTGACTGTTTCTGTGTAATGTTTTAAGCCATTAGGACATTATTTTCTCAACCATTATGGATTATAACAATGTCATAGGAAGAATATTTGACTTTCGCATGGCCTTTATAGTAGGAATGTTATTCATCTGCATCTATATCTCTTACAATTTACAATCATAATGTGCAGTTTACAAGATACTTGTTGAGCAATTACCAAGATAACATGCTATCACACTTATTACTGCTGAATCAAGATGGTGATATGCAAGCATACTGTATTCTTATAAGTGATCAAGCGCATAAAAGCTTACTATTGCCCAAATTCTATATTGATAAATCTAGCCAAATTACATTCATATAACAAAGCTTTAATCTTTATAATAGAAAGTGGGTGTAATGGATATATTCAATCAGTGAGAAACATACAATATGTTGAATTGAATGGGATTTTGGGCACTTTTTACTATTTTCATGTACGAAAAAATCTTTTCTTGCAATATAAACAAGTGAAAATTTGCCATGTAGTGTAATAGGAGTGATGCATATATGCTTATCTATCTTCCTTCTATTAGCTTGGAGTGTATTAGGCATTATAGAGTGATAGGTATCATGTTTTGTGTAGAGAATATAATGTGTGAGTCTGTGTTTAATGCTTGGAACAATTCCTTCAACATTTCAAGCAAAAACCCTCACTGTAAATCTCTGTTGCATGTATTCTCTTATTACCTAAGTGTACTTCTTGTATCTTTCTTCATATATGCCACTGTGGAACCGTGCAGATATTTCTTTTTGTTGTCTTTCATTGTGTGTTCATCCGCAGTGAATGGATTACTACATGTAAGCCTAATAAAAACAAAAGTTATTGCCTTGTCAAACAAGTGAGTTTCTAATGATATGTTATTTTTCCTGCTGTTATGAGTATAGTTGAGGTTGATCCTCTGCCGTATCCGGACACCTACCCCCCAGATAATCACCTCTAGGACAACTACCCCCTAGGGTAACCACCCATTAGGATGACTACCCCCCCCCCCCCCCCTAGGACACCTACCCCCTGAACAACTACCCCCTAGGATAACTTCCCCCTAGGGCAACCACCCATTAGGATGACTACGGTACCCCCTAGGACACCTACCCCCGGACAACTACCCCCTACACTCTTATTTCCACGGCATCAAATTTCACTCTAAATGGCGTCAGCTGGGAGTCAACTCTATTCCTAGTTAAAGTGACACGAAAAAGGAGTCATCTTGACTCTGAATTGAGTCAATTCTCAGCTGATGCCACACAATCAGAGTCAAATTGATTCGGAATCCATGTCACTTTAACTAGGAATAGAGTTGACTCCCAGCTGACGCCATTTAGAGTGAAATTTGATGCCGTGGAAATAAGAGTGTAGGTCAACTACCCCCTAGGACAACTTTCCCCAGACATCTACTCCCTAGGACAACTACCCCCCAGACAACTACCCCCCAGACAAATTCCCCCTAGGATAGTTGTCCTAGAGGAAGGTTGTCGTAGGGGTAGTTGTCCAGGGGACCTAGGGGCAGGTGTCCTTGAACCATGCATCCTCTGCACAGACTTAATGTTTAGTAGTAAAAATGACCTTTTACTCATGATTTTTTTATATGATTACGATATGACTTTGTGCTTTGATCAAAAGAGTGTGAGGGGGAGAGAAAGACTGAGAGATGGGGAGGGAAGGAGAAAGAGTAAAAGGGGAAGGGAGAAAGTGAAAGGGGAAGAGATAGAGGGAGAAAAGGAGATGATTAGGTAGAGAGAGAATTTGTGATTTGATCAAAAGAGTGTGAGGGGGAGAGAAAGACTGAGAGATGGTGACAGAAGGAGAAAGAGTGAAATGGGAAAAGAAAAAGAGAGGAGATGGGGGTAGTGCTGAGAGGATGTAAACTACATCTTTGAAGGCAGTGCCTTTCCCGTGGAAGAAATTATACATGGATGGAGACTGTATGTATAGGCTGGTATTGTCCCTTCAACCCCTCCCCAAATTGTAGATCAAAAATAAAAAAAGAAAGCCAGGAGAAAAAGAGTACCGGTATATAAGGTTAAAATAGGAAATATAAAAGTACATAATGTAAAAAACAACGGAGGGGGGAAGATTTCTAAAATGGCTATCGGCAAAATCGAGTTTAAGTTCAAAATATGATCAAAATTACCTAAAAACTCGGGGGGGAAATGCGGGGCAAAATGCGTCTAATCGAATTTGTTTTAAGTTGGCACTAAAAATAAGTTTTTTGTCATAATTTAAGCTGCTGACAGGTTGATTGATGTAACACTGAATGTAAATGTTGCTCAAAGTTTGGACTTTAATGACTTGGGCCACTTTTCTTTTTCTTCCTCATGGTCTAAGGATGGGCTAAGGCAAATTAATTAATTATTTACCTTCAAAAAGACTCATCGCATGAAATTTCTGTAGCCTCAATCTACGAATTGTAAGCCTACCTACTTTTGAAACAATTTGTCACCTTCCTGCGTTCGATATCCAAAATTGTTGTGAATATATCACCAACTGGATTTATTTATTCTTAACAGTGATGAAACAATAAAGAGCTCTTCTATAAATGAAAAATCTGGTTGGTTGACTTTCCGAAATGCTGTGTTTACTTATAGGCCTTATTACAAAAATGACAAGATATATAGTTTGCACATTTGGACTTTTGAACATAATCAGTGAACATTTTGAATAAGCTCACGACAATTTTAACAAATTGTAGTAAAGCAACATGAATTAGGCCCAATTAAATTGGTTCCCCAACTCTATTTTATTGTCTCGTAAATAGCAAAATGATTCTATGCCAAAATGCAAATTGTTTGTTGTTGTTGTTCATAATCACATCTTCCATTAGTAGAAAGAATTTGCCCCAAATTCCCTATGATGCTTTTTTTCATAACGAACAAAGTAAAGCTAGAGTCTATATTTTCGGAATAGACTGATCCTTTTTTCAAAAACAACTTGAAATGCTTCAGTAAATTCTGCCTGGTACATATTTAGCAACTTTTTCATTTGGAAAGTGATATAAAGCGGATCCAGAGAAAGATACTGACTTTTAAAATTCGCACATAGATGGCGTAAATGCTTTTATATCGTCGAATGCGTCTAGAAAATGATAACAACAACATCAACAACAGTAAAAGCCAGCTGCACGTTCGCGCATGCGCAGACATCAACCGCCAAATAGCCGGGCGCTTTGAACACAGTGCCAATGTAACTATTTTATCATTATTTTGGGACTAAATTTCAGATATACAAAATGTATATCAAGGAAATAATCGTCGATGGCTTTAAGTCGTATGCCCAGAGGACTGAAATTAAGGGATTTGACCCCCTTTTCAACGCAATTACTGGATTGAACGGCTCTGGAAAATCAAACATCCTCGATTCGATCTGTTTTCTGCTGGGCATCTCAAATTTATCACAGGTGGGACTAAGGATCAATGTTTTTGTTTATGAATCTTGAATGACTGCGACTGATCAGTGTAGTGATTGACCTGTTCGTCGATGTTACATTTGAATATTGACCCTATTCATGTAAAATGAAATAAATTTCTTTCTGTATTAGATCTATATATAGATAGCGAACTGTCTTTTTCTTCTTGTTTTATCACTGTTTTGATGAGCAATTTGAATTCATTTAAATTCAATTTTCAAATTCAAATTTCAAATTCAATTTCAAATGTGATGACTGATTGATCATTTGATTTGATGAACTTGAAGTTTGAACTGTTCAATGAATTGAAAATTATTCTCTTTTGATTTGTCTATTATTCATGTAAAAATCTATTAGGTCTATTCATGTAAAAATCCTGAAAGAGAAATTATGAGAGAGTGAGACTGAGAGACCTTTAATTTTAATTCAACTTTGTTTTGTTTTGTTTTGTTGTTTTGTGTGGGTTTTTTTTTGGGGGGGGGGGGGAGGGGTCAAAGAAATATGGATCCAGGAAGATTTGTTACTTCTTCTTCTTCTTCTTTTTCTTGATTTCCTCCAGGTTTAAAAAACTGCGGAGTTGTATCCTTCGCACATTGAGTAAATAGAGAATAGGCAGACAATTTTGATTAGAAGTGAATGATACTTGAGCATGTTGTTTTTCATTTCTTTTCTTTTATTAAACCAGGTTCGAGCTGGCAGCCTACAAGAACTGGTATACAAGGGAGGTCAAGCTGGTGTCACAAAAGCAACTGTCACAATCGTCTTTGACAACAAAGACAAGAAGCAGAGTCCAGTGGGATATGACAGCTTTGATGAATTCACAGTCTCAAGACAGGTACAGTTTGTTTATTTCATGTGATAGAATGTTCTACTATTCTGAGGGGAATAAAGATGGTGTTGTTAAATAAAAACTAAAACTAAAACTAGGTCCATCGATGCAGAAACGGTACAGATCTTCTCAGAATCACCTTCCATGTGATACGGAACTCCCGACATCGTGCAACCAGTCACGGCAGGATCTAGTAGTTCACACCCATACTGGCTTGTCCTCGCCAGTGTGAAACTGCAACCATTTCCCCAAGAGAGTGCTGTTAGTAACTTCCAAGAGCTACCGGCACTTAACCACCTTTGCAAGCAACCTGCATGATTATGTTATTTGAAAGTGAAGGCGTACATTGTCGCTTCACTACAACTACTACTACTACTACTACTACTACGTGCTAGAGATTTAGTGTTTTCTTCTGTTTCTCATTGACAGGTTGTAATTGGTGGCAGGAACAAGTACCTGATCAATGGCAGCAATGCAAACAACAGCAGAGTACAGGATCTCTTCTGCAGTGTTCAACTCAATGTCAACAATCCACACTTTCTCATCATGCAGGTAAACAATTATTTAAAAAAAAGTTTTTGTTTACTGTTTAGTGCATATCACAGTATGATGTAATGTCCCTTTGTACATGTACTTCCAAAGATTCTAAATACTGTTACTCTAACTTTAGCTCTGGAGGCCATTTTCAACAAACGGTGCATTTCAAGGAATAAATTCTGCCAAATACCCATTTATCCATTTGACACCCGGGTGGAGAGTGGCAAATGTGGATTAATGTCTTTCCAAAACATGTGAATGTCTGACTGGGATTTGAACTCTCAATCCCTTAGATTGTGAGTCAAGTGAATAAACCACTATACCACTACACCTCCACTGATAAAGTCTTGTGAAGATTTGATTGATACCATCTTCAAACTGGCACTGCCTTTCTAATATTACCGTAACCTTATTTCAGCAATGCTGCAACTAAGATTTAATTAAGGCACTTGAGAAATTCTTCCTGCTCTGAACAAATTTATAAACCTTTATAATCAATCTTCAGTCTCCTTATTGTGTTTTATATATATATATATATAAACAGTTGCATTTTTGTTATTGTTTTCTTTTTTTTTCAGGGGAGGATTACCAAAGTACTAAACATGAAACCTCCAGAGGTGAGTTCTTCTTGTGCATAAAATCCCTTCCTTGTGGCATTCATCATAATATTGTACAATAAATTTACAGTCATGCATTATTGACTATTGATACAGTACATTTATTTTAATATTAATTTAAGTACTGGTACACACAATGTTGTAGATACTGTGTATAATATCATATACTGGTACATACTTTAAAGCAAGTTGGAATATTGTACATGTACCATTTAGATTTTTGTTCATATTGCCCCAAAGTAATTTTTTCTGGTTGATTAATTTTTTAATAATTCTGATGTAACAAGGAAATGATTGAATATACCCTTGTTAGAAAAGCCAATGGGGAACAATACACATCCAGTCAACTTGGTATTTCCAATTCATATTTGTTTACATCCTTTTTCATTCCGTTTCTCCCAAGATCCTGTCCATGATTGAGGAAGCTGCTGGGACACGCATGTATGAGAACAAGAAGGCTTCTGCTCAGAAGACCATCGAGAAGAAAGATGCTAAGCTCAAAGAGATTGAATCTGTAAGTCAATTAGTACACTTTCTCATCATTTTAACTCGTTTTCAGTCTGTTTCTTTTACCCAGATCTTTGTTAAATAACAATGTTTGTGACGATTTGAAAGGTAGTATTTGTTAGAGTTTGAAAATATCAAAGAGAAAAGAAATGTATATATGTATATTTGATAGTGACTAGTCCTAGTGATGTCTTGCAAAACGATGTTATTTTGTATGCCCATACCGCCAAATGTTACTTGAGCTTTCATAAGATTTCTCACCTCTCCATAGATCAAGTGGTCATCTTATATCATGAAGCACTTTAAAACAAATCATGGACAACTATGCCACTGTCTATAATACGGACTAGTGTAATCCATTCTTTCCCCCACACAAACAATTGGTTCTCCCCCCCCCCCCCCCCCCCCCCCCCCCCCCCCCCCCCTTTGTGGACTGTCAAATTAAATCCCTACATATAGTAGATGGCCATCTTTAAGGTCTAAAAAAAAAAGGTGTTGTATTGCTCTTTAGGTGCCAATACATGGGTTGGTCAGTCGGAAATATTTTTTAAACTTTTTTTTCCGTCTTTTCTCTTTGGACTGATATTTTTCAGTTTTGAATGCTTTAAAGATATAAGTTGAGTTCTGGTCATGTGATTGCATTGTGAAAGAAACGGTGTGGAAGCTATCAGAAAAGGTTGATCATCTAGTATATAAGTATTCGTGTGTATTGCAAGGTTCTGGAATCATCAAAATGATGAGACATTTGGCCAAAGCTTGGCAAAGTTACAAGGACTGTACACAGAATGATGTATATGGGACTACACGAGCACATGGCGAAAAAAACCTCCCCCCCCCCCCCCCCCCCGATTTTTACGTATTTTATGTCATATTTAGAATATGAAGGCATTTAAAGAGCCATGCTTTTCAGGGAACATGTTTAATCTGATGTTCTTCCACCCTTGCATAATAACAATGATAACGCTCACAAATTATGTTTTACCTCTTCCCAGAACTCAACCTTCTCTTCAATACATATTTTTTTATTCATTAACATTTTTCCCCTGAAAAACGGTAAAAAACACAACACTTTTTTAAAAAGCCGACCATAGATTTCAAGATTTTGGGTCAGTCGCAAAGGGCAATACAACATCTTTTTTTCTTAGGCCTAACCCTATTGTTGACCCCTCTCTTCTGCTAGGTGTTAAACGAAGAGATCACTCCCACCCTGACCCGTCTCAACGAGGAGCGCTCCTCCTACCTGGAGTATCAGAAGGTCTTGAGGGAGCTGGATCACTTGACCAAGCTCCATGTGGCATACCAGTTTGTTTCCGCTGAGAAGCTCTCCAAGGAGTCTGAGCAGGAGCTGGGCAAGATCGCAGAGGCAACCACCGCCATGAGACAGAGGATGAAAGAGGTGAGTGCATGATGCAGATTTGGGTTCATTCATGATACCAATATCATGCATGTGTATTGTAATGTTTGCATGTATGAAGGACCTAGTTACAGATACATTTTTGTAGTTTTCTTATTAGAGGTGACTAATGCAACCTCAGCTATACAGTTTAGTATTTTGGTATTTCACATTTTGAAACTATCTTCCTCTTTCTTTGAGATTTCCTTGAGTTTTTGCTCTAGTTCTTTTTGTCATACAGATGACTATTCCAGGGCCATATAATCCACCTGGAAAAATCATCAAAATACATTTTTGGGAAAATGATTACTTTTTAAATAATAGAAAGCTGTCTAATACAGTGAAACCTGTCTGTATAGACCAGCCAAGGGAGACAAGAAAAGTGGTCTTTATGTAAAGGTTCCTTTAGTACATGTTTCAATGAGAAACCATTTTCAAGTTAAAGCAGGTTTGACTGTACTACTAATGTGTTAAAAGTATGGATGGGAAAACAGAGTTTGCTCTGCAAGTCACCTTTCATCAAGATTGCACTTTTGGAATTTGTTCTGTCAATATAATAATTTTTTTCTTCTCAAGATTGATGACAAACTTTTGGAGCTGACAAATACAATCCAGGCGTTGGAGAAGGAGAGGGATGAAGAGGCAGGAGGGGTCCTGAAGGAGATAGAGAAGCGTCTCGTGGAGGCGCAGAACAGTGACACCAAGATACAGAGTTCGCTGCAACACAAGAAAGAGGCCGTCACCAACGAGAAGAAGAATAAGAAAGCCGTTGAAAAGAGCTACACAGAGGTAAAGGATGAAATGCTGTAATTAACTCACAGATAACTGTTGTGTGTCATGAGCAAATGAATTCAATGTAGTGCAATGAAAGCTTGGTATTTAGGAAGAGCAATGCTTTCAGACTTTTTACTTGAAGAAGGATGAGAAGGAATTTCTGTATCTTTGTATTTCCCTCTTTTGTTAAAAGAAAAGGATATCCATTACAAGGGAAAGAAAATGCAGACACAGACTGAAATAATAATGCTAAACAAGAAGATTTTGACATGTTAAGATATATTACACACTTGTTTTCATGTGTTTCAATTTAATTTCTGCCAAAGCTCTTTCTCTTTAAACAATTTTTTCCTCTTATGCCTATACATATAAAATATTTCTGCGTGCTAATCTGTGTAATTTTTTCCATCTCAAACATGAAAATCTCAAACATGAAAATCTAAAAGTCTTTCAATAATGGCTGCTTATTCTATAAATTAAGCCATTTTTTAACTGTAATAATAATAATAATAATAATAATTGGATTTATATGGCACCTTTTCCAAAGGATACAAGGCGCTGTCTTGTAGACTATCAACAATTTAAGAGGAGTTGTACAGGTATGTTTTCATTTGTTTTTTGAAGAAATCTAGTGAAGTACTGTTTATAACTGATTAATAACCAAATTCTCTCCCTCTAACCCTCTCTCTCTCTCTCTCTCTCTCTTCCCCAGGATCAAGCTACGTTGAAAGCCAAGGAGAAGGAGATCGAGAAGCTCACTGGAAGTTTCACCAAGCTAGAAGAGAAATGCAAGGAGAATCAGGAGGGTGTGGCTCAAGCACAGAAGCACCTCCAGGCCGTGTCTGCTGGGCTCTCTAGCAACGAAGATGGGGAGGATAAGACCCTTGCTGATCAGCTTATGAGTAAGTTTAAAGCCCATCTGTACAAGTGTACAGGAGGGATTAGACAACCCTGCTAGGTCACTGGACAGGTGGTTATCTCATCAACTCAGCTCTCAATTAACATAAGGAAAAGAGGAAAGGGGACCAATGGTCACCAATTATGTATTGTTTATTATATAGAGGGCGCAAGTAGCTAAAAGTAGTGCAGTGGGCCTTTAACATTCCTTCACCTGTGTCATTCGAAACAAATTGATTCTGTTTTAAACTTCTTTTAATGCAAGGAAGTGACGTGATATAGCAAAATATGTTACATTTCATGTTATAGGTTTTCCCGCCCAATTTCATCAGAGTTGCACTCGAATTCATGAATAGACGTTCAAGTTCGAACGATTTTCGTCAACTCTCTGCTCTCATGGTTCATTTTCATTCTTTGAGTATTCAATTTCGTTTTATCTCATTCCTTTTAAATTTTATTTCATTCAGTTTAGAGAGAAGTCAATTTAGTTGTCATTCAATTTCGTGCCTGCTGGATAGACGTTCAGTTTCGTCCTCAATACCAATTTCAATTTCATTTATGGGCACACACTTTCGCAGTTTGAACGTTCGAATTAAATTAACATAAACAAGTTCTGTCTTTCTTTCACGTCATATTTACGTTTTTTTTAAACTGTTTTTAATCATATAATTTCATTTTCATTTTTCAAGTTTCATAATGTTTATTTTAATCATATTTTATATATTCATTTTCTTTTTAAGCTTCACTACCAGTTTTTAACTTAATTTCCAAATACAAAAATCGCTATAACTCATCATTTTTGTACATGTAAGTGTAGTATGTATATTTTTGTAATAGATTGTGCTTTATGTCACGTTTGGGGTTGGATACATTGGGACATTCTTTCTTTACATAATTATTCATAATAATTGATGTACAGTCTCTCAGTCTCTTCACCCGTCAATGTGTTGACTCGCCAGGCACCTTGGCAAGTATGTCTGAGAGTGATTGTACCATTGTGTACACTTTCCGGGTGTAATGGCGTCAATGTTCTGGAGAGCAGCATCTCTGAGGATGTCACAATGCCATTGCTGTAGGTTGATTCCTGCGTCTTGAGCTGCCTGCCTGTCCCCAACACGAAGCTGCCACGCTGGCTGTGCCAAGGTCCTCTTCACGGCGGCCTTAAAGGCGGAGTGAGCCATTTCTGTCATGTTGAGGAATGGGGAATAGGGAGGGAGTCGCTTCGTCTGGATGATGGGATTGGCTCCGTCGGGCAGCTGGGCGCGGACATGAGGTCTGGCGTTGTCATAGATGAGGTAGATGGGTTCATCGGCCGGGAACATCAGGTTGCATTCCGCGACGGTTTCAGCAAGGAAGTCCTCGAACCTCTTCCTGGTAACGGTTTCGAATGCGATTCTGTGGTGGACAAGACCGATGGCAGCGGACACAGCAAATGTCACGTTGCAATTGCGACCTCGCTGGCCGTGCACCACCCTCCTAGCCGGCACACCCCGTGGAGCCCTCCCACGAGTACGCCTGGTCCAGACGTTGTACCCTGTTTCATCGATAAATACACAGTTTCCCACAACGCCGTGTTCGAGGAACCATTCAGCATACTCCAGTCGCTGTTCTACTACCCTTGGGGCGTTCCTGGCATCTGGAACATCCTCTGCCATCTTCAGTGTCAACATCATTCCATCCAGTGTAGCTACTGATGATGTTGAGACTGCGGGCTTGTCAGGGAGGTTGTGCGCAAGACTCTCCTTCATTTGTCGTAGCGTTAGGAGTGGGTTTGCATCTATGATGTTCTCCAAATGGTTGCGCATGTCCACATCCATTTTCACATTTCGGGCCCCACCCCTTCGTAGCTTTTGGACCCTCCCCGTGTCCACATACGTCGCCACAATCGACCTAGCCGTAGATCTGTTTATTCCCAGAGTGTCGGCCAGCTCTAGGTAATCTTGCTGGTTGTCAAATGCTTCAGCCAACCTAGCTCTGTCCGTATTCGAGATATCCATGTACTCTCCTCGCGCCGCCGCCATAGTCATGTATAAATTAATGTAATGAGTTGTACGAGCTCTTGCTTCGATGACGGTTTGTCAGAGGAATGAGATATTTCAATATAAGGCAAAGGTCCCATTTCAAGGTACATACAGTTTGCATAATTTATTCAAACAAATGCAGATTGCAAAGAACATAAACAGTATTAAACAAAAGAAAATGAATTCCCAAATGCTATAAATGCTTGCCTATTTTTGAATTTGAACACCTTAACGTTCATCAGGGCGGTGCAGGTGCGAATTTGAATGCATAAACGTGCATTTGAATTTGAACGCGCTTTTTGCACGTTTATGTGAAAAAACCATGAAATCGCATGCTAATACCATTAAATTGAATGAACAAGTTAGGCTTTTGAATGTTGATCTCGGTGATCATTCAAATTCGCTCGAAATTGAATGATCGCATCGTTAAATCGGATGCAACTCTGATGAAATTGGGCGGAAAAACCTATAATATAGCCAAGATTTCCAGGCTGCCCTGATTTAATTTTGTCCGCTGGAGCCAAACAATGCTATTGGTAGAAAATTTTGATTAGCTTTCATTTTTTAGATGAAACTAATGTTGCAATGTCTCTGGGCTATATAATTCACAGTGAATTGTGAATGCTTTGTAATATCTTGTTTCATTTTTTAGTTTGGTCTTCTGGCTATAAAAAATTTTCATTTACATTTGTTTCTTTATCAAAAACAAGTGATCTGAAAATCAGCAGTGGTAATAGAAATATTAGGCAACTGAAAAAAGACCACACACAAAAACAAAAACTAAACCCAGAGTAACGAACTTAACGAAGTGTAATCTGACTGAGAGTAAGGAGAGACAGATAGAAAGAGATATGGAAAGAAGAACAAGTACATGAAATATTTAAATGAAATGTAGTTGGGGAGAGAATGTGGAGGATTGTAAAGTATCATAATCAACTATTTTTCAAATTTAGTGTTGATTCTATAAAGATTAAGTTTGAAATATCGATATGACTTACTCAGTGATTAATGAGTAATGTGTAATTTGAAGTTTGTTCAATTGACTTTAATAGGCTGTATGTATATACCTTGTTTTTTTGTGTAACCATGTGGAAAAAAGAATTTCCAATTATGTGGACAATAAAACAAATCAAAAAAATTATTTGTGTTTTAGCTTGCAAGGCGGAGATGAAGGCTGCTGAGACGAACCTGAAGCAGGCTCAGAGCACGCTGAAGAGCGACCAGGCTGAGCTCAAGAAGAAGGAGGCAGAACTCAAGAAGACTGCCAAGGAGTATGAGAAGGACAAGGCAAACATGGAGACAGTGCTCAAGAGCAAGACAAAACTTGAGGTAAATTTAGGGAAGGGGTTAATGATAATGGTAATAATAATGTGAGATTTACAAGGCATCAAACCCACTTGAAATCAAATGCTTACGGTGCACTTGTGAAACAACACCAAAATAGAGATCACTTAAAAGCATTGGCATTATAAATACAGGAACAGAAGTAGGTCAGAACATGCCAAAATGACATAACAAATATTTATATGCCGAATTAGGCAGATGTGTTTAATTATAGTAATTACTAGTGTAATGATGATGGGTTATGGTGATCTGATGCTAATATGATCGAGTTGTAGAAGATGACTAATATAAATTTAAGATAAAAAATGATGCAGTACTAGAGATCAAGGCCAAGCTAGAGTCAACAAAGAAGATTGTAATAGGAAATTTATTGATGAGAATGGAGGTTATGATCATACCGAGAATGGCAGTTGGTGCATGTTGTTTGGACAGTGATGTTTTTTTGGTGTCAAAACAGTGATGTTGATAGGAGGACTGTGATAATAATATGTAGAGGGCTAACAATCCCACTTTCCATTTTTCATCCAGGATGAGATGAAGAAGCTTGGCTTTGAAGACGGCAAGGAAGATGACCTTGAGAACCAACACAAGACGCTCTCAGCCAAGGTCGATAACCTTTCAGATAAGGTCAACGCACTCACATCAAGGTATGTCCATCCCATGGCAGTTTTGTGTGCACGTCAGAGTACAGAGCAAAAGGAAATGAAAATTATGCTTAGAAGCTATAGACAGATACAGAAGTCTCATGAAATCTCATGACAATTAGTTAAAGTGTACATGCTTTCAGTCCATTTCTTTTATTTGTTATAACTGTTTCATTTATAGGTGGTAATGACTAGATCTTTTTTTTTTCATTGGAAAGCTGGTTGCATATAGTAAATATCTAAGCAGCTTTTTATGGTGCATACTAATTGTATGATTTATTGACCGCTGACAAGGTTCCCTGGAACTCCCATCTTGTATCAGATTCAGATCGCCACCAATGAGTGGCTTTTCAACCTTGATTCATCACTTTAGCTGCGAAAAATCCTAGAAAAGAATAACACTTATGTTCAATGTGTACAAGTTGAAATGTCAAAATTGGAGATAAAGAAGGTGGTGTTATGTATTGTACAACAGGAATTTTGCTTCGTGTTTAAAATTGTGAAGGCATTAAGCATGAGATAGGTTCCCATATACATGTGCATGGCTGATCTAGTATGAGTGATTCCTGAAGTTACAAGGAACCATATTCTCCTGTATTTTTCTCTTGTAGATTCCCTAATCTTCAGTTTGAATACAAGGATCCCGAGAAGAACTTTGACCGTTCCAAGGTGCATGGTCTGGTGGCTAGACTGTTGAAGGTCAAGGATGTCAAGTATGCCACATCCTTAGAGGTCACCGCAGGAAGGAAGGTGAGTCAGATCACAGTATTTAATGAATTGATGATGATCTACAGCACTTGTATGGCGCCATTTATCTGTTCCAAACATTCAGAGGCGCCCGCTCCTCCAATAGTCGTGGATTGCACACATGCTTGAATTGCGATGTTCTCAAAAACTCATTCAATGTTTTAAATTTATAGTAGTTGTAAACATTCTATGGCATCAGGACTCATTATCTTGAAAAGTCTTGTAGGATTCTCAAAACAAAATGGGGATTTATGATCGGTTCCTTGGTGTTGAATATAGCTGATAGAGGTACTCGACCATGTTTCTCGACCATGCATATGTTGCAATAGACCAATTTGCTAACATATTCAAATGAATGGATATTTTTTTTCCTAAGGACCATGAGAAATTTATTCCATTTACCTGTTATTATTGAATGAACTACAATACTTTGAATCCAATCTGCATAAATGACTTGTTGCTATGTTGGGCAAGCCTATGACAAACTGACAAACTTTGTCTTAAAAGTATGCATACAATTTGAATATGTTAGTAAACCACTATTGAATCCCTGTTTACTCTTTAAACGTAGCTGATACCCAATATTTCAAACAAATTCTGTCTGCTTGGGGAAAAGCGGAATCAGTGATAGCTTGTAGAATTGTGCTTGGTCTTGCCTATTGTGCTCAAGTAAATCAAATGGTTCAAATTTTCACCCAAAAGACAAAGTTGCTTGGCCCTGTTGATGCATACATGCGATTAGTTTACTTACAATCATTTCTCCCCCTGTCTGTTAGCTCTACAATGTGGTGGTAGATACAGAACATACAGGCAAGAAGCTGCTACAGAAGGGAGAGCTGAAACGCCGCTTTACCATCATACCGCTCAACAAGATAGCAGCTAGATCCATCTCAGGAGATACAGTCAGAGCAGCACAAAACCTGGTCAGTAGGACAAACAAAAAATCATCTCAATTTGATTTGAGTACATTGTACATGTGTATGATTCTGTGTTTATCAGAACTTCCTGAAAAGTGCATTCACCAAAAAACACCAACACCAGCAGATCATGAAAATCAATGTTTATTATTTAAATCTTCAGCAATTACACATTAATGGCAAAATTACTAGGCATGATGTATTAATTTATATCTCTTAACCTTTGTTAAAAGTGGTAAATTAATGTTTTAATTATTTTTTCATCATTTGAAACTGGGTGTGAAATGTCTGAAGTTTGAAGTTGAGGCAATTTCATTAATTTTTTGTTGTTACTATTTTACTGTTTCATATGTATCAGTCATTTTCGATTTTGTACAGATTTCATGTTATAATAGAAATAGAGTCTTCTAGGTTTGTTAATTTTGCTGCATTTTGTTATTCTTAATATTTTTGATTGATTTTTGTTATATTGTCAGGTTGGTAAAGACAATGTTCGCACCGCCCTGACCCTCGTTGGGTATGAGAAGGATGTCCAGTCAGCCATGGAGTTTGTCTTTGGATCTAGTCTGGTCTGTAATGACACGGCACATGCTAAGAAGGTATGGAAAACAAGGAGAATACATTCTGACATAATCAAACTTGTATGATAAACATTGTACCCTAAACTATTTTTTGAAAAGAAGTATAAGTTTTCTCCAGCGAATCAGGGTTTATTTGTGAGATTAATGTAACTGTAGGTCATAGGTGGAAAGTTCAATAATTTCATGTCTATTTTGCAATTTACAATATATAAATACATTGTTTTCATTGGTCAGTAATAGTAACAAAATTTATGATACAAGACAGAATCTGTAATTACTTGAATTTCTAAGGTGCCAATTCAGTGACCATCTTATATGTTTAATGAGGATGTACATATTTGCATACGATTTGTGTATGTCTTCTCCAGCAAAATAGTAGTCATCTGATCAAAAAAATAATAAACCCCAAGGGTATTTCATAATCATATGTTTGATCTGAATATTTTAGTGTATTTGTTGAAGTTATTGATTTTGAAGTCAGCAAAATGCGGGAAAGTATAAATTGTTAAGAATAAAAGATGTTAATGATGAGAATGATGAGAGTAGAGCACTAAGCTATCTAACCCCTTTGTATCGTAGGTGACCTTTGACCCCAAGGTCAGGACAAGGACAGTGACCCTTGCTGGTGACACCTTTGACCCATCAGGAACCTTGACTGGAGGTAGGTTAAAAGCAGCTCAGTCAAATATCATTTGAATTAATTTCTCTTTTTGACCATCATGATATATTCTTAATCTGTTACTTGCTAGAGAAGATAAATGCAACAGATTGAGACATGCAAGCTTTTTACTACCATTTGTGATGAATTCAAATTAAATTTTGCTAGAGAGAAAAATATATCATAGATGATTGTGAACATGCATTCAAATATAGAAATTTAACAACTACTTGTATGCATTAATTGAAATTCATCTGAGAGGTCTACACTGAATAAATGGTTCTTTACTGCACTTTGCACGAACTCGGTCCGTGAGACTTCCTACAATATATGTTGCCATAGATTTTGGGAGGGAAATTGCAGTAGGTTAGAAAAAAATGATTGTTTGCTCAATTACGCTGCTGATTTCAGATACAAGTATACGTTTGATTTCCTTTTCAGGTGCTCGTAACAACAGTTCCTCTGTGTTGCGTAAGCTTTCAGAGCTTCAGGAGGCTGAGGAAGCTCTATTTGTTGAGCAAGAGAAACTCAATGCTGTCAAGAAAGAATTGACCAAGATTAAAGGATCCGCAGACAAGTAAGATCATTTCCATACTAACAATTCACCTATGAACAAACTCTCCTTGCACCTACATGTACATCCATGAGCAATGTAATTCTAATGTTACAGCTTGCTATCAACTGATAACTAATAATCCTTACTGTTTGCACCCCTAGAGTGTTTCAATAGGCATTGTTTGTTTGTTGTTTGTTTTGTTTTGTTTGTTTGTTTGTTGTTTTTTTTTTTTTTTTGGGGGGGGGGGTAAGTGATTCTACAGTTGCATCATTTGCAGTCACTCTAGCTAGTACACAAAAACGTCTTGCCAGTAAATTAACAGGTCTCAATACTTGGCTATATACATTGTTTTTAACCATTTACTGATGTGTCAGAAACTGTGCATGGTAGTAGTAGATATAATTCCATCATTATACATGTGAGCTTTCTTTACCACCACCATCATCACCATTGTTATTGCCGTCATCATCATCACTGTCATCATAATCATCACCATCAAAATCATCATTATCATAATCTACATGTACATCACATTTAAAGATCCTTATCATTTATACTTTTTTTTTCAAACAAATATTTCAAATGCCCCTTGGTGGATGACCATCCAGATCAGTCGTTTGAAACTGTGTTTCTTGTTTTCTTGTTTCATAGGATGCGAGCCCTGAAGGATCAATATGATCTGAAGGTCCATGAGGCTCAGCTCTTAGAAGAGAGATTGAAACAAGGCACACATCACAGCAAGCTGGAAGAAATCAATGCACTCAAAGCCTCAGTCGGTTAGTAGCATGTTTACCTACAGCAATAGTCTTTGTCATTTGTGGTATGGCTGGTGTTCACAATATGTTGTAATTGCAACTTGACATGCAGTTCATTGTAACGAGAAAATACAAACTATATATTCAGAGTTAAAATGTTAGCGAATAATCCGGAATGTACATATCAATGTCTTGCATACTTATTGCACATAATATGTAGAAGAAACCTTCCAAGATAGATTTCTTGTTTAAATTGTAAGAGCTTGTCTTATTTCTTTCAAGATTCATTGTTCAAATTATATTATAAGATGCTGTCTTTTTTCTTTATATGCATAATCAGTTACTTCTTTCCAATACAATTTAATCGTAAATCTCTGTGTATAAGACGCACTTTTTTTCCACTGGAAAAATTCAAAAGTCGGGGGTGCGTCTTATACACAGGTACAGGATATTTTGAGTCCTGAAATTGCTACTTTATAGTGGTTTTCGAAAATCTCTGTGTCTCAACATGAATTACATAAAGCGATTAAAGAATAGGATCTACTATTTGAAGTTTAACTACGTTCCTACATGTAATTTGAAGGGAAGAGACTTTTTTTTAATTTTCTTATACAAAGAGATGTATTAGAATATTGACAAATAATTATTTTATCTGTGTGATTACAGAAGAGCAGGATAAGATGATCGGTGATGCCAAGACCAAACAGAAGGAGACGACAGAGAGGACCAAGAACCTTGAAGAGAAGATCAAGGATGCTTCGGCCGTGAGGGAGAGAGAACTCAAGACGGCTGAACAGGAGGTTACCAAGTCTAAGAAGAAGGCAGAGGAGACCAATAAACAAATGAAACAGAAACAACAGGTTTGTAGTATATTTCAATTAGGAGAGATGTGAGACAGAAACGGGCGCAAACTAGAGATAGGGGGAGGGAGAGAGGGGGTGGGGTGATGGGTGGGTGAAAAATAAGGATTTTTAAATAAATATATTGCAGATGACATTGATTACTCTGTATTTTAATCGTTTTGTTGTATGAATGTTTATTTGCTTTGATAGTATTTTCATGAAAATTATATAAATAAACGACTTATGATTAAAGCACTCTAACAAGTACATCTAAGTTTGCCAATCAAGAAACCTCCAGCCTTCCCGATCCTTGTACATTAAGATTGAGGATGTTGGATTTAATAGATCCTACTTTGAAATGAGAGTGATTTGAATTTGTTATGTTTTTATTTGAAAATTCATTGATGTACATCTTCAGGAGATGAACAGTCTCAAGTTTGAGGTGGATAACCTGAAGCAAGAACTGACCAAGTATGATGACCAGCTGACCGCCAGTGACCAGGCCATTGAAGCCATCCAGGCTCAGCAGGAAGAGATGGAACAGCAGGCCAAGGAGTCAAAGGTCAGTGATTCATATGACATTGCGACCTTTGAACTTTTAACTTTTAACTTCGGGGGAGGGGAGTATATAGAGGGTTGTTGTCTTCTTGATTTTGCTGGGTGTACAGATGTGGGAACGTCATCATTGACAACTACAGCTAGTTCTAGATGCAATGTATTTGTTGTTGTTGTTTTTATGGTTGTTTTTATGTTTGTTTTCAGCCATGTCGCTCACTAGCTAAAGTCATATCTGTGTCCCTCACCAGATCTTCTTCAAACTTCATATATATTTCAGTATGCATCATGATGAGAAAAAAAATCAAAGTTCACCAGGTTCGATCCACATGAAAATCAATCTTCTGGTACTGATACGTTATATATATAACCGACTGCTTGATTATATTTGATAGCAAATACCCAGTACCAAATACAATGCACAGAAGGAATTCTATATATTTAAAGGCAAACATTTCCCTGATGTATTATACAGGTCAAGGTGAAGGAGACCAAGAAGGAGCTTGATGGACAGAAGGAGAAGCTGAAAGAGAAGAACCAAGACATCCAGACGAAGATCAGCGAGAGGGAGGCACTGAAGAAAGAAGACCAGGACACTCAGCTTCAGATCAAAGAACAGGAGCATGTCGCAAATAAGATCACCAGAGATAGTGCGGATGCTGTACACAGGGTAAGTAACATATTTTATGCAGAATGAATATTTGGAGGGATGTAAATGTGGAAAACCAATAAACAGCTTAAAAACCCCTCCATCAGGCAGGCGGAGGGCGATGAGTTGTTCACAAAAAAACACCAACAAAAATGAAACAGGTTAGTGTCACACTCTTCTTCAGTGGCCAGATGTGACAGATGTTTAAAAATTAAACCAGTTTCTGATGCAGACACACATAAGGAATAGATATACAGTATGCAGAGATGCCAACCAGTACAATTAAATCTAATTAGTACGATAATAAGAGTGAAATACGATCTCAAAATCTTAAAATACGATTTTTCATCTTTCTTTCTTTTTTTTTCCTCCTTTTTTTTTTTTTTTTTAACCCATAAAAACAGCGGAATCACATAGAAACATGTACAAGTAAACCCTCGCAACCCCAACAAAAACTTTGCTTTACAATTTTCTCATTAAATTTTAATGAAAGAGCAAACATTTTTCTGAAATTTTACTGGCCCGGGCCGACGAGTCAGTAGTAGTGTCGAATTTTTGTGCAAATCTGATTTTTCTCTCCAAAATCTGATTTTTTTTTTAGGATACTCAGTCTGTTTTTTGTGTCAAGAGGTTGGCATCTCTGAGTATGTCCCTAAGATACATAGATTAAAGTTATTTCTTGCAATGTCTTGAGAGCAAACCAATCCAATTTTTATAACGTCTTTTTATGGGTAAACAATGCAAGAGTTTTCTTCAAAGGATAGGCAATAGCTTTTTTTGTTGAAGGACATTAAGGGTGTATATCCTGGCTATTTAGTTTCAGGAGTGATGGTTAAATAGATTCCTTGTGCCTAATTCCTGGGGAGGGTAAGACCCAAAGAACTACAGAGAATCAATCCCAGTTGAAGTCTTTGCTGTATTGATATGTAATTGCACATTTTTGGTTGATTGGGTAGTTATGTAGGTTGCTTGGACTGACGTTGAAGATACCTGTTCATTCCACTTGCACTATACATTACCTCATTGGAGCCAACACATCTCTAAAATTCTATCTGCACTAGTTTGGCCAGGAGGGATTAGACCTTCCTGCATGGTCACTGACCGATGGTTATCTCATCAAATCAGCTCTCAATTAACATTACAAAAAGGGGACCGTGGGGGACCAACGGTCACTGCTTAGGCATTGTTTACTTTATAGAGGGCGCAAGTAGCTGTAAGTAGTACAGTGGGGCTTAAAGCAATGCTGACATTTGTTTCACTTGCCTTTCCATCAGGTCGAGAATCTCATGACCAAATACGAATGGATAGCCTCAGAGCGGCAGTTCTTCGGGCAGCCCAACACCGCCTATGACTTCAGCAGCTCGGACCCCAGGGAGAATGGACGCAGGCTGCAGAAGCTCCAGGAGACCAAGGAGAAGCTTGGAAAGAGTGTTAACATGAGGGCCATGAACATGCTCAGCAAGGCAGAGGAGAAGGTGAGTTACAGGGGTAGAACTATGGTCCCGTCAATAAGCCAGCTTGTAAATACTATCTGCGCATAGGCAGATAAAGGTCATTTGTTCCCAAATTTGTAAAACCCATCGAGACAAAAACTGGTATCGTGCTCATGAAAGTTTTGTAATCAGTAGTCATTTATGCACCGACAGTACATTTATCTGATGCACAGGTGGAAGTATTCTTCTCAAGAGACAAACAAAAGGTATTCACGAAGCACCTCCATTACTTCGGCAGTGATTATCCTAAAATGCACTGATGGGACGTATCCATTGTGTAAAAGATCTGTGGATATTTTGGGGTCATGCGTTCCGGAGCTACATGTATTTACGAACTGGCTTTTTGGAAACTTAGCTTTGGTTGATTGTATTTAAGTTCAATGTGGTTTATTTTATATTACACATATTTTCCATAGACCTGACATTGTCAAATTATATTGATAAGTATTTCTGAACTCATCAGTTTAATGTTCTTGATCAAAGTATTATATGTTTACATTTCCATCTATGTATACATTAGCGTTATCTTGGTGTGTTTAAAAAAAAAAAATCCTTTAAAATATATTTTCGTCATTTATATTCTTCAGTGGACATATTTTAATACTTTGTCTTTTTCATATTTTTTTCCCCCATTCTCATGCATCTTTGATTTTCTTGATCTCAGTACAATGAGCTGATGAAGAAAAAGCGAATCGTTGAGAATGACAAACAGAAGATCATGGATACCATCAAAGAGCTGGATGAGAAGAAGAATGAAGCACTCAAGAAAGCCTGGCAACAAGTCAACAAGGTAACAAGTCGCGCAACACAATCTTGTGGCAACATTGTTTAACCCATTGCCTGCGGGAACCAGTGGTCCCTGTGTTAAAGTCTATGGGAATGAGAAAATGCAGTAATCAACGTGTTAAAGCCCCACTGAACTACTTATAGCTACTTGCGCCCTCTATATAGCAAACAATGCCTAATCGGTGCCTATTGGTCCCCCATGATCTCCTTTTTCTTATGTTAATGAGAGCTGATTTGATAAGATAACCACCTGTCCGTGACCTTGGAGGCTACAGGTATGATCCCCCCCCCCCTGGCCAAACTAGTAAAGACTGGCTTTATGACTTGCAAATGTATTGTTAAAGACAATGATTTATGGTGTACAACCACCTAGGCTATACTCCCCAAATATATAATCTTTGCTACAGATCAAGTCTTGAACTCCAACTAAAAATCTTTTGCTAACTTCTTTTACATGAGTCAGGAGGCTACATACAGTACTTATGACAGTGTTTGCCAATCCAGGCTAATGGTTAAGGTTAGAATTAATGTACATAGTGATTCTACTTGTCCAAACATATCCCTGAACATAGTAAAGCAATAAAACTGTTTGTTTAACCGTAATTGCAATAGACAGGTGTGAATTTCATCGATGTCTCATCTTATGAACTGTTCAATGAACTGTCGCACTCAAAATTTTCTAAATTCCTTTGTTCCTTTCTCGATCCGCAAATACAATCAAATTGCTACCTGAATTTTACGTTCTTCTTTATTTCTGTAATGTTTTTTTTGTAACCTTTCTGGGCCATCCCATCCACTCAAACATTTAAAATAAATCAGTTATTTTGTTCTAAAATAACGTAAGAAAACTTTCTGTAAAGCAATATTCTGAAGAAGTTCTATGTCAAAGTATATGATGTTTTATGTATGTAAAGTTATTTTGATTCTTTGTACGTTTGTAAAATGTGAGCAAAACAAATTTCCGATATTGGACAATAAATTGAAATTGAAATTGAAATTGAAATTGAAATTGAAATATGTTGTTCCTCTGTAGGACTTTGGATCCATCTTCTCCACCCTGCTGCCCGGTACATCGGCCAAGCTGACCCCACCAGAGGGCAAGGGTATCCTGGATGGACTGGAGGTCAAGGTGGCCTTTGGGGATGTCTGGAAGGAGAGTCTGCAGGAGCTCAGCGGAGGTCAAAGGTCAGTTTGACAAGAAGGATGTAACAAGTTTTCTCCTTTGGAAATAGTTTGAAATCTAATGATGCTCACAATTTTTTTCTTTATACTTTAAGTGTTCACTTTATATTATTGTTGTTTTCCACCCCTGACCCCATAGGTTTCGGTAGCTCTGTCTCTGATCCTGTCACTACTGCTATTCAAACCTGCTCCTCTGTACATCCTGGATCATTGAACATTAGCTATACCTGTTATTCTAGGAATCTTGTCTTTCTAGACCATAAGATTCTATGTATGTTTTCAAAGTGTTCACCTTTATATTAACATATTATTGTTTTTATTAACCCATAGGTCTCTGGTAGCCCTGTCTCTGATCCTGTCACTACTGCTCTTCAAGCCCGCTCCTCTGTACATCCTGGATGAGGTTGATGCTGCTTTGGATCTCTCTCACACACAGAACATTGGTCAGATGCTCAGGACTCACTTCAAACACTCACAGGTCAGTAGTCTCAAACTATTCATCTCTGCAGTAACTTTCTTTAAAGGTTCTGCAGTCAAGGTTTTTTCTTGAATCCTTAATTATGCAGGGTGGGCCGTTTCCACCTTGACTTTCTCGATTACAGAATGTTATTACTTATTGTAGATATTTGGGTATATATGCAAGTTCATATATATTTGATGAAATTGCTTTTTAAGCCTCTTGTTTTACATGATAACCCACTGTTTGGAGAAAGAATAGAAAAATATTGGTATTTTCTACGTATGGGGCCTTTGTGACAATTTTTCTGTTAAAAGTGTTAAATTAGTCACAAATTTGTGTAGATTTATGTCATTCTATGTAAAATCATCAACTGGAACTGATATTTAGAAACCGGTATACCAGTAAGGAAAACAGACAGTATTGAAAATATATTCCAAATTAGTCTATTTAAATCCATTTTATTTTTCTTGGTCTCTATGCAGTTCATTGTGGTGTCCCTCAAGGATGGAATGTTCAACAATGCCAATGTTCTCTACAAGACCAAGTTTGTTGACGGTGTATCCACGGTAACACGCTATGCCCAGCAGCAGTCGTCTCTCCCGCCATCCGTTCCTGCATCCTTCGCCCGTGGCAAGAGCACCACCACGAAGAAGACATCGGCAAAGAGAGCAAGGACAGAGCCCCTGACAGAGAAGACAAACTGATTCTATATTGTAGTAGCCTTCTTGATATACCAGGGGGATGTTTCACAAAGATCCTAAGTTGAACTTATCTTTAAGTTGGACTTAACTGTTATGGAAAGCCGTTAGCAGCTTTGAAAATATTTTGTAAAAGTTATTTCAAAAGGCATTACATTTTGATTCAAATTATTCATATTTTCTATTATCAAGGAGATTTCATGTTCTTGATGTGTATTTTATGAATAGTCTAAATTACTTCAATTTTTGCTTTTGGAAATTTTTAATTTTAAGGCTACAAATGGCTCTCCATAATATTTAAGTCCAACTTAGAGTTAAGTTTGACTTAGGACCTTTGTGAAACACCCCCCAGGTGACAGAGAAGTATTACTGAGAAGATGGTAGCTTTCATCACCATCCGTTTCACTCTGCATCGAAGTGGCAGATTGTTTCGAAATTAGAAAATCTGAAATGTAGCTCCATGTTGTTGTCAGCTGTCAAAGGCTACCAGTCTAAATACATGTATGTTGTAGTGACATCCACATTTTTGTGACATGCACTGAATAGTCCTATTATTCTATAGTCTTCATCGGTTGATAATCGGGAAGAAAAATCAGAGGGATTTCTCTGTGATGATAGAAAAATTGTAATGTTTCATTCATAGGTGACTGGTCATTTATATTGTGATATTTTTATGATTATTCAGATTTGTAATGTATTTGCTGTACAGTGTAAAAAAATGTTTTTAAATCTGTGACATCGTAAAGAACTGAAGAAAGAAAAAAATAGGGAATATGTATATGTGAAGAAAATAGATAGAGTTCAGAGGTTGTAGCTAATTGTTAAGTATGTTCCATTCACATATAATAGCATAGACTAGGAAGCAGTTGGAAATACCTACCCTAATTATCTATCATAGGCTACTTTCAAGCACAGCTCCTTGTGGTACGAAAATTATCGGTTTGCAAATAAGGAATTTGTATGTATCTTTCAAGGCCATTTCCCTCACAAACTTCTTTAGAGGCACTTGATATTTTTCATATCTACTTCCAAAAGCAATTGATTCCAACCAACCTTTGCCCACTTCCAATTATTAAAGATTGTATTTAGCTGAGGCATGGGTTACGAGTTGACTGAATCAATGCTATCTTCATGTATGAGAGACTCAGAGATAAGAATGCAAGATGAGACGTGCAGAGATTAGGGCTTTGGCTTCTTCAGATCAGGAAAGGTTCATCGCTGTCAGAATTTGACAATTGGAGTCTGGATCAAACACTCCATGATAAGAGTACGCAGATAAGTGTGCCTTCATAGATAGTGGTAACCGTTATTGTCAAAACATGATGATAGGATATCGGGAGTGACGCGATAGCTGGCAAGGCAATGTAAATAGTCGATTCCACCGAATCAAGGCTGCAAATATTGCTGATTCAAGCCTTCATTTCATGGTTTTCTTCTGTAATCACTGATAATGCATTTGCTGAATTTTAAGAACCTTCAGCCTGTAATCACTGATTTTGCATGCACAGAATCTGTAGAGTCTATGATAACACATGTTTAATGACAGGTCTGCACAAAATTGCAATTGATCACAATGAAGATTGATCACGTTTCTATGATTGTGATTAATTGTATTAAAGTACAGCATATCTGAAATAAGCATGTTGATTTTTAAGCACTTGTATTTAACAATTGATAAGAGGAATCAAGTAGTTCCCATGACACCAAGCCTCATGAATGAGAATGCAGAAGTCAATGGCCCGAATTCACAAAGGAGGTTTGTCGACAAACCTCCTTTTGTTATTTACAAACCAGGTTTGTAAAAAACGCATCAAAACGCGTCATATGATGTACATAAACCTCGGTTTGTCGACAAACCTCCTTTGTGAATTCGGGCCAATGGGTTCAAACTGGATCATTTAAGAGGAGGTTGGGGTCTGGTATAGATGAAAAATATTTGATAATTTCAGTGTAATCGCAATACCATTACTCAACTTAATCTTTAAAAAGACTATTTATCCACACCAAGATTATGTATTTTTGAATCAGCACAATGAACCATCAATCTTATTACTTTTTTGTTATAGTCTTAAAATTGGTCTATATGCTTTATTAATTAGGGCAGAAGTGGTTTTCTCTCCTTTGTTGTAAAGGTGAGAAACCACCCTAATGAGCTGCAACCATGTCAAATCTTATCAGTTCAAAGTCTCCCAAGTTTGTCTTCCATGATCCTTTGCGTCAACTCTGGGATTGATAATAACTACCCCCAAGCAGGGATGATAAGTAGGGTACATAACAAACAGATATGGGTTCTATCTTTAGAGCATCAGTCAGGTGTCTTGGAGATTAATCTTTCATCGACCCCGATCTGTAAACATGCTTGCCAGCTTTTGCCACTTTGCGAAATATATGCCCATGCAGGGAAATAATGTCTGCTATATATATATAATCCATCCCACATCAAGTATTTTGCAATGAATTTCTTAATGCAAATTTCTTAATAATTTATTCAGTTATGTTTGAGCAAGAAAACATTGACAAGGAATAATCTACAAAAATTTTTGACCACTAATAGGTGTGGAGATAATAGTTAAAATTACCAATTTTTTATATTTGTGGGAGATATCTTTTTTTCTTTTTTTGGTCACTTTAGAATGATGCATGAACATGAAAGTATGAATCGTTAGTAAATGCCTATGACCTTACCGACACTTATTCTGTATACATGTACATGCTCCTTTCCTATCAGCGTTTGTTATATTTATGGTGAAAGGTTATTGAGTTATGCAAACATGCTCCATTTTAAACCAAGTTGCCATGGAGTTGTTTATATGACCTTATGACCCATGTCATCCAACATCCTGTGTATGAATACATTTTCCTTGGAAATATTATAGTAACAATGGCGCATTTTCTCTCTAACTGATGTGTATAATAGGCAGAGAAAACTTTCATGGATGTGTGTTGGTGAGATGAAAATCCTTCCATTTCCGTAATCTTTTTTTCTTTGATCCGACTCCCTCTTCATTGACATTGTACATAAGATCATATTATCGACTGTGTATATAGACTAGTATGGTATTAACTGTGGTCGTAAATTATGCAGTGTTGTTTAGATTATCTTTGTAGAAGTATGATGAAGCGAATTCTCATGATTCATAGTGTAATGTTTTCTCTGTAAATAAATGTATAGAGGATGGTGTGTACGTTGTATTTATGGTATGCAGTGGGCTCAAATGTGTACATAAAGTCATGTTTTAATCCAAACATTTCATGGAAAATTCTCAGAACGATGTTTTATCTCTATCTTTAACCATTCATTTAAAAAATTGTAATAAAAGTATTTAAAGATGTAGATGACGAGAGAAGAAGCAATTAATGAATAATAATAATAATAATAATAATAATACTCAGTTTTCATATAGCGCAAATTAAAATTAAGTCTCTAAGCGCTGTGGAAATAGAAGTAAATCAAGAAGTGAGTACAGAAGAAATGAAATAAGAAGAACATAATAGCATGATGAATATCTGATGTACAGCTATAGATCAAATTGTCTGTTTTGGGCCAGAAGAGCGCTAACTCATATAATTTTACAGAATTAACGCCCTTCTGGCTCCAAACGGGCCTACATCCTATTGAATAAATGTTGAATGAATAATATACAGATTAATACTTTTGTTTTCAGCGATGTACATAAATACAGTTTCTCAAATCTCTTATTACCATTACCATTATAGCCATGCACAGTTATGAATGTAAATGGAATTTAAAAAAAAAAATTATTTTACTTGCGGTAGTTGGAGATTTTCATGAAAAACAGATACTGATAGGCAAGCTGTCCATGAGATGATGAATTATGGAAAGATCTATCAAACTTCATAACTTGGCGTTAGATATTTTGTGTATGATGCTGAAATTAGCCTGCAGGAATTGAAATTGATGATTGAAATATTGTTGATGCTTGTGTGTAATGGACTAAAATGCAGATTATTAAAGTCTAGCACTTTTGTATATTTGTACAAAATTCTTGAGTTCTTTCGTCTTTTATTTTTATCTGGTGTACTGTGGTAAGAAACTGTGCAGAAGAGATGTGCAAAGTTTGACGAGTACCGGTACTTGAAATAATCACGTGAAGAGAATGCATATGAAACATTATTTGACTTGAGATACTCCATAGCTTTATTGTATTAAAATGTGTATTGGAAAGCTGTACACTAAGGACAGCTCTTTGTAAAATTCTTACATCCTTAAAAGAGATATATTTAAATTTCACCATCTATCCACGTAAGAAATTCTCTTCAACATGGATCATTTCTTATATCTGCACGGTTCAAAAGAATCACATGACACATCGATCATGTAGTACATTCCAAACTGGAGAAACACAAGCACATAGTAACATATTTTGTGTTTTGAAAGTATTAGTATATTAATATGGATTAATTAATTAATATTCTATCATGGATTTTGAACACCTTTTTGACTCTCAACAGATGATTTACAGACAGAAACCAAATCACATGGGCAGAAGGTCACTGAAACTGCATGAAAACAATACCTGGATGGGCCCAGTTTCATTAAACTTGTTATGAATAACAAATACTAAATATCTATGACAAATTTGCTCACAGCCAATCAAATGCCATGATTTCAGTAGCTTATAACAGTCATTGTAACTTGTTATTGAAAACGTGTTTTATGAAACAGGGTCCTGGTACTGATGTAATGAATATACATCAGCAAAAGGATGTACATGTGACTAAAGACAAACTAAATATGGTTATATTGTTATAACAGGATATGGGTAGGAGCCACGAAGAACAAGGATAGAAGGCTTCTATAAACCAACATTTCCTCTCACCCTGGAATCTACCTTTTATAAATAAAACATGATTCAAAAGTTTGTATAAGTGGATTGAGTTCAATGAAGAAAAAGGTTACCAATAAGTTATATACATATAAAAGTAAAGGAATTAATACCCCCCCCCCCCCCTCCCGACTTCAAAGAGTTAACTTCATGAAATAAGTTCAATGAACTATCATTTCAGATTTAAAATACTTTTTCACAATAGCTTTTGAGGGTTTAAATGAAAAAGAGGTTTTGTTTCTTCCATTTTTCATTATGCAAAGCAATTGTAAGTTTCTGTTAGTCACCTTTTTAATCTTTAATTTCAGAGCTCTAATGCTGCATTCTAAATCTCAAATGCTTCAACTTCTTTGTATTTTTCCCTACTGTATTACTTGGCCTATTAAAGTATGTTGTAACTGCTCCATCCATAAGTTTCTTGAAAGGAAACCACGTTTCTTTTCTGCAATTGTTTCTAAAATAGATTTACAAATATTTTGAAGAAGTTTCATGGCTTATAGAAAGTTTGGTGAAGTGGATCGAAGTTCATAGATTGAAAAAGTTTCCAGCAAATTCTTTTTTTTTAAATATGAAAGAAAACACATGCGAAACCCCCCCCCCCCCCCCCCTCCCCATTGTCTTGCAATGGAATAGAGATGGATGAATTGTCAATTCAGATTTTGTTAGAGATTTTCATGAATATTTATGATCCTCCTTTGAAAGATGGAAACACACAGAGCATAAGATAGTGTTCCATAAACATCCTTTACGTAGCTGTTAATATCACATCTTTGTCCTAAGAGTTATTCTTATCCATTGTTCAATCCCTGAGAAAGTTGACATAATTAGTCTGGGACATCCCTTACTCGGGACTTAATCCTCTTCACATTCCCTTCAATCATGCAAACTTTTGAGGGTTATTTGTTATGTTTCTGGGTAAATCACTACCACTTGTTTCCACCGCCATGACAGATTGCTTTCATTACATGTTGTTTTTCTTTCCAGATCGCTGAAAGGATTGACCTACATTATGCATCGTCCGTTTGGAGCCAGAAGGGCCGTAACGCGTGTATTACAACACAGAGTTAACACCCTTCTGGCTCTCAACAGATAATACCAGAGTCCAATCCTTGAACTTGCAAGCTCTGGCACACCTATTGTGCACAAACTTTATGCAAAATACTTTTGTGCCTATGTTTTACCAAAAGGGGGGGGGGGGGGCGGAGACTTCAAAGTAGTACAGGCTATATGTTTGCGTGGTTTGGGGCATATTTTAAAGCTTATCTGCCATAGTTTATAGGAGGGATTAGACTGCCCTGCAAGGTCACTGGACAGGTGGTTATCTCATCAACTCAGCTCTCAGTTAACATAAGAAAAAGAGGATCATGGGGGAGCAATGGTCACCGATTAGGCATTGTTTGTTATATAGAGGGCGCAAGTAGCTGCAAGTAGTGCAGTGGGCCTTTAAGGGAGTAAAAGATATATGTCTGTAGACTTAAAAAAAAATTACAAATTGAAAATTCATAATTTTCCAGGAAATTCCCCCCCCCCCCCCCCCCCCCCCTGTTTATCATGAGCCATTATAGTGAGCTCATTGTCTTTTTTTAGCTTTCTTCTTGGTGGACAAAAAATAATAATACTGCTGCAATATTACTCCCCCAATTCAACCTTTACCGGCCTAACCCCAAAGTCATTCAAGTAACCGGACTAGCTGACTTGGTTTTTTTTTAAGGCATATCACATTTAAGTCAAACAAGACATTTATCAAGATGAATCTTTTATGCAACATACTGATGTTGAATGAGTCAATAAGTCAATATTGCAAAACCACAAGACCGCTTTAGTCATCTTTTAAACATTATCCAAATAATATACAAAGAACAAATATCACTACATTGGATGCAATGCTACATTTATTTGTCTTTCTAACTGGCCTTTACAATGAGGTCATTATACGATAAAACATTGATTATGAAGCAATTAATTGGGCAATATACAACTAGACATCAAGGTTACTGTAAGCTTTTCTGTAATCAAAGCTATGAAAGATTGCAAATACTAGAAGATTGAGCAAAGGTAAAATTGACCTTCGTGCGATAAAACTAATGTTTGCTAAATCAACAAGTAAAACAACCCTTTACTTGATGGTTCTTGATACACTGGGCATTCAGCAATTTTGAAGAAAAGAAAGGACTAAAGATTATTTTGCATGAGAGCGAGATGGAAGTCAAAAATCCCTTAAAAATCATACAATATGTATTTCAAAGCTTGAAATGTATTTTTAAGCAATCAATAACCATTTCAGTGCTGCAGGAAGTTCAAATCAGCCCCCCCCCCCCCACTTTTTTAATAAATATATATATAAATAAATAATAAATAAATAAATATATTTAAAAAAAAAAAAAAAAAATCATGCTTTGTATAATATCTTTGGACAAAGAAAAGCATTTGTTCCATCATGTTTTTTTTTTTTTTTTTAAAATCCTGAATTATTATGTTACATCTCATGAACATTTGCCTTAATAACTGCATCATTGAAATAAAAATAATTTAAAGCAATCATAAGACAAAATTTCACTCATAATAATGGTTCTTTTTTGTGGTGTTAGTGGCAACGTAAAGGTTGATAGCATATAAACATGTGAATCATTCTGTTACAATTAGTACATAATTATATTTCACTTTCAAATTGCATGTTACTACATGTATGTCATCTCTTGTGGATTTCCCCCAAAAGGAAATCCCATATTGGATTATTATTCATGGAACAAAGGATGTAACAAAATCATGCCTTGTGGTATTAACAGCAAGGAAAGCAAATGAAACAAAAAGAAATTGTGCAACACTTCAGCAAGTTTTATTCAGCAATGCCATACACATGATTACAAGTACCTTACTGAAATTCAGCAAATTTATTTTCCTTTTCTATTTTGAGAAAATAAAGAAGCCCTAAAATTTATATACATGTATCTATTTTCTGAAGAATGTAAATTATATTCAACCAAACGTGAAGAATTTCACACACAAATGCTAATTAAGCATCATGGTTGGAATATAGAGGGTAAATCTTAGAGAATAATCCTTCTTTGTTATCTAAAAACCAATAAATTAATTTCCCATTAAAAAAAACCTCACCACATTGTAATATTATTCATATTTCACTTCCCTATGTATCAAAGAATGCAGAGATACATGGTCTGTCTGACCTTTTTTCATTTCTCTTTATTTACACAAATGTTTCTAAGGAAACAAAAGTGAAAGCACAAGTGTTTTAAATCTAACATTTCCTTTGGCCTTGCAGTCTTAGTTTTCAGGCATAAACCTTGTCAGTCATGTACATCAATGCAAGGTCTAATGACTGTTATGTTGCCTACATGTTCCCCGGACATGGCTCTTTGTTTCCGATGTTGGTTTAGATTCAACACCACTTGTTATTAAACGCTTGTGCTAACCTTGTGTAAATTGCCGGTCCCATAGGACCATTCATAATTATTTCATTTCATTTCATTTCATTATTTTCCATGTTCCATTTTTTTTTTAATGCAAATATAATATAATGGAATACAAAGGAATACATACATAAAGAGACATAAAGCATGTAAGTGACAAAGGGGGAAGTGATGGGTAAACATGTTAAACCAGTACACATAGGGGGAAAGTAATTAATAATAATAATAATAATAAATCATCCCACAAATGGAATCCTGGGCCCCACTTCACAAAACTTGTAATCCGTGACAAATGACAGTTTTTGTTATAAGCTAGTGAAATAAATTCTTGCTTCTGATTAGTTATCAGCAGATTTGTCACTGATTTTTGTAATTTGTCATTGAAAAAAGGCTTTGTGAAACGGGTCATATTGAAAGGAATCTGATATTTGCAGGTCCCATCTCGGCAATTCGCTTTCAAACTGTTGGTTAGTTTGTCCTGCTGTTTGTCAGTCCATAATATTGCACGATCTTCTCTTCCTCCTCCATCCTCCCCCATCCCCTCCCCTTCTCTCTATCTCTCTCTCCCTCTTTCTCTCTCTGTGTCCATCTCTCTCTCTCTCTCTCTCTCTCTCTCTCTTTCCTCTATCTCCCTCCCTCTCTCTCTCTCTCCTTCCCTCTCCCTCTCTCCTTCTCCCTCTCTCTCTCTTTCTCTCTCTTTCTTTCTATCTTTCTCTGTCCCTCTACTAGTATACTCTCTAAGAATATGCCCTCACCGACTTGTCTGAGAAGTCAGATCACTGAAGACACTGTTCTTTGATCAACCTTGTTCACCCTCCTCACTCATCCATGATCAACCCTGTTCAATTCTCCTCCCCTTGCAGACTGAATGAGATGGAACTCCATGTGGTCACAGATGGATCCTGACACAATTCTTCTCTCTTCAAATCTTCATCGGCCGTCTCAGGAGTCACGTCCTACCTCTACAACTCCACCATGTGCAGTTAATCAACTGGTTCTGTTAAAAGATATTCAAAAATATGTTGTGAATAGAGGATCGCACTAGCAGTGTGAAAGGTTTGGGGTTATTTCACATAGAAGAGAGGCCTACAGCTTTGAGTCCTATCTGAGGGACTTGTCAAAGAAATATCAATACTTTAATTATGATCCAACCTGGTTGTTCCAATTCAACGACTATTCATTCAAAGGCTTACAATCATCTTTTCATGTTCTCATAAATTCAAGGTTTAACATATTTCAGCAAATAGCAGAGCACTTCAAGAAAGACAAAAAAATTGCTCATAACTGGAAGGCGGAAATACAACTTAGGATACTGATCAAACATTTTCTCATGTATTTACTTACAGGTGGTGTTTGCTGTAGCGGTAATTTATGACCTTCTTCATCCAACAACCTTTGAAAGATGACGCCCTTATGTCCACCTCACCCTCCTCCAACTAAGAAAATAGGGAAAATAGAAGAAAAAAACATATCAACTTTGAAAGAAAGGGAAATATCTTGACACAACAGGGTGCTACAAGAATTTTTTTCACCACTTGCCCTGTCGGGCAAGTGGGTTTTCAATTTACTTGCCCAAACAATATTTCCACTTGCCCAAAACTTTTTGTTTACTAGCACAATCGAGAAAAAACAGCTGATCAACGCACGTGTGTGTCTGTGCAAGCCGCTGTCATTTGGAAACGTAGGCTAATTTTCAGCTGTTAATAATTTGGGTCAACTCTTCCATCAAGAAACGTCATGTAAATAATGGGTAATCAACTATTTTAAATAAAGTACGGACATTTTTATTTCATCATTCACTGCTATAAATATCATGCCAAAATTTGTAAATTCTTACTAAATAATAATATTGAAGATATTTTACGATAAATCTCGGATAAGTATGCGAAAACTAGACTAAACAACGTCGCTAAAACCATGAAAACAAAACAACAACGGCTTATATTCTGGGGGTCTCGATACTATTATCAAAATGACTCGCTCGGTCGGATCTTGAGACCGCAGTAATAAATTGAAAACGAGACAAAAACATTCATCTGATTTATATGAGCAGCGAGTTTTGAATAATATGTTCACAATCATTAACAGTCATTATGAATAAATATCAAACATTTGACTTTTTGTACTTACTAGAAAATCCCTGTTGTTTATTCCATTCCGATTCGCACGTGTTCATTTCCCTAGAATAATGACGTCATATTTGGCGTGATTCAACCAATCGGCAATCAGAGAATAGCAAAGGCCTGTCGGTGCGGCCTGCAGAGCTAGAGAGAGAGAGCGCGAATAAGCTCGCAGCTGGTACGATCGCGCTAGCTGTCTCTAGCTAGCTCACGGCCGGCCGTGCGTGGAGGCGGAGCGGCATTCATGGCTTGAAGTGTCACTGTTGCATGCGCGCTGAGCTAGCTGAGCTGGCTAGCTGTCTGTGAAGTTTTTTCGAAATCGGAACGATCGCTTTTTTGCTTCTGGATTTTGACGACGGGTAAGAAGTTGACGGGTGAATGGTAGAGTTCTTGGACACTAGGAAATTACTGTAAAAGTATCACTTGCCCGAATCGGGCAAGTGATAATTTGATTTACTTGCCCGACGGCTCAATTTGGTTGCCCCGGGACGTCGGGCAAGCGGGTTTGTCGCGCCCTGCACAAAATGACAGATTATGACAAGTAACCTGATAAACAGGTCAATATCTCCTGTCTGATACGACACAAGAGTACTTTGTATTCATATGGACAGTATTATTAACCCATTCCATGCCATAAACAGCAAATCCAGCCCAAGATTTGTCAATGACGCACTGTAAATGTATTTAGACCAAGAAGAGCTAGATTTTCTGTCCTGAAACAGGAACAAGTACATATTATGTTTGTGGAGATTGTTTCAAAAAGGGTGCTTTGAACCTAACATGTCCATGAAACACATAATGAGAATAATAATTTGACTCTTGGAAGTAAAAACAAAAATATTTGTAAGCTGAGTCAGAGTGGCACAATATGGTTAATATCAATTATCCATGTAGTACAGAAAGCCTGTCAGTGAAAATTTTCAAGATAAATCTCAAGAAATGTTGGGCATCCAGGAGAGATGAATCTGACCCCAATGAATTATTCAACTGTCTATGTTCGTTAATGTTTAGCTTCACAGAGCTTTTAATACTGAACATAATTCATCTTCATGGTTGCAGAGGAGCAAATAAGCTTTATATAAGTAGAAGTGTCATAGTCGAGTGGTTTAAGCACTTGACTTGAAATTGAAATTAGGTTGGGTTCGGTCCCTGACATGGCACTATTGTCCTTTGGCAAGGCATTAATTTACATTTGCCACTCAATACCCAAGAAAGAAATTGGGACCTGGTAGGATGACGAAAGCATCTGTGTTAGTAATTGCCAATGCCAATCAATCATTACTTTAAGATCTAAATGAGCAAGCTATCGTAAGTCAAAGAAAATATTTCTGTGTTATTTTTTAGTTTTTAATATAGTCTAATGATTGTAATATTGCAGCCAAAGAGCATTTATGAGGATGAAAAGAGTGAAAATCTTGATGCATATCACATTTATCGCGGTCCAGCTTAACCGAACCATTTGTTCCACTCAGTCCCCATAGGACGATCTTCAGTCTATGTATAGAGGCTGTCAGAGGAGCCAGATCTATGCAATCTCAGCGGAACAATCGTTGATATCAGAGACTGAAGCTTTCGGTCTAACAGATATGCTGCCATTTAGAGATGCAACAAATTTCAAGATCTGTCATACATTCCCCAGATTATCTTACCTCATCCCAGCTGTAAAGCTCCTCGTAGCACTCTGATGAGATGCATTTCCTAGTACATTTTGTTCGATCTCGGCCAACAAATGAAGTGCATTCGCTCTCACACATCCTTGTGTCACGTTTGAAAAGGTTCTCCTAAAAGAAATTGTCAGAAAACATTGAGAATGACATTGACACACTATTCAGTGACAGAGCCCAATACTTTTTTTTTCTTTCTACATCATTCTTGAATGAATATTTATCTTGATTGTAGAGCATATGTGTCAACTAAATATAAACAAAGATAATGGAAATGCAAAACATATCATGTAATTTGGCATCACACTCACAAAGTCTAGCATAATCTACAAAACCACACACAAATAGCAATATCTGGGACGGTGGTGTCAACGTTTCTAAAAATAATCCCGTTTTTCATCGATAATTTACACTCACCGATCTTGGCTTCTTTTTGTAATGGTACCGATTGAATTGAAATATCATTTTTGAGCTGCAAATATCTACAAATATCATCAAAAAGAAAAGAAAAACGCCAAAGTTCCTCATCTTAGTTGTGGTCAGCGATCTCCATTCGCTTTGGCGTACGGTACAACAAATAACAAACAAACACACGTCCACTAGATCGATACGAGTCGAGTTGGGGGATGGGAGGGGGCAGTTACTACCATACGTGTAATTAAAGCCTAGATTCAAAATGCAAATATCTATTTCCTTTAATGTAGATGAGATTAGTTCATGGGCAATGGTTTATGTTTTAAAAATCATGCATTTCACAAATAGCAAAAAGAACCCTTCCCACCCCCCCCCCCTCCCCCAATTTTGTTGTTGTTGATATTCACGACTGCATTTAACCGGGGCTTTGAGAAAAAGAAACGTAAAAATACATATTGGATTGTATTCCCAATTGGAGTAGGCATAGGCCTACACAGTTGCTCACCCCCCCCCCCCCCCCAATTTTGTTTTGAGGGTGCTTAATCGACTCCTTTGTTCCTTTCATGTATTTTTTTTTTAATGATTGCATTCAATTTTGATTAAAAAGAAAAATGAAATTCATATTCGAGTGTATTCCCAATCGGAGTGTACAGTATTTACTATTTACAGGCCAAAGTTGCCTCCCCCCCCCCCCCGAAAGGAGATATTGAATTGATATTTTTTGTGATTGCATTCGATTTCGATTAAAAAGGAAAGTGAAATTCATATTTGAGTATATTTCCGATTGGAGTATACATTTTTTTACAGGCCACAGTTGCCTCCCCCCCCCCCCCCCAAAGAAAATATTGAATTGATACTTATGATTACATTCGATTTCGATTAAAAAGAAAAGTGAAATTCACATTGGATTGTAGGCGTATGTGCATACTCAATATCATAAAGATGACTGTAGGCCTATTATAGTATAGGCCTATCCCTAGGCGTTTTCTTGAACTTTAATTCGTCAGAGCTGACTTCGAAGCAAATTAACGATGCAATTAAAACAAAATCAACCATGTTGTTTAATTAGCCTGGATTAAAATTTAAATTAGAGACCTCTTTAAACTTGTTAATCTAACACTGATGCATATGACATCAACAACCTTGATTAAAGTTAAGTTCCTGTTTACGGAATAGACAATTACCTCGATCTCATTACCAGCCCTTTTTAGGCAGCGACAAGTCTTTAGCTAGCTCCGGAGATGGTAAATTATAGACTTTAACTGTGGGGGAAATCATTTCAAAATGATAAATCACTTCAAAAATACTGTACATGTTATATACTACATGTACTTGTACTGCTGCACATTTATCCTTAATATTAAATAGAGCTCTTTTAAATGTTATTTTATGAATTATTTCCCCCAAAACGTAATGTGATGTTTTGCTGTAAAAAAATATGTAGGCCTATTACTTGCTGTGCATTAGAAGGTGAACTCTTTCTTCTTCTTTTTTTTATATTGTTTTTAATATTTTTTTTTTTACTTCAAGCGAATTATATATACAATTTTTATTTCGAGCATCTGGGATCAAGTATACCTTCTTTGTTCTGCACTAGGCTTACTCATGCTTTTGACTGTTTTGAAGAAAAAAATCTGTCTCAAGTGTGGAAACTTTTGGCTGACATAATACTTTTAAAGCAGATATGAAACAATGCGAAGTTCATGAAAAGAACCGGGCATAGATTCAAGAAGTTCGGATTATCGGAGGTATGCAGGTATATAGGAGGGGTAAGGAGGGGGAGGGCGGGGCTCTTGTGTCTGAATCTCAACCATCCTCTTTCTCATTTTGCGCGAACAATGAGGAAAATATATTTTGATAAGAATTTAGTTTCGTCAACAAATTACATTAGATAAAACAGAGATACAAAATGATATATTCGGGGGCCATATTTTATTTCATTTATTCATCTTCTTTTGGGGGTGGGGGAGGATGGGTACTGCGCCGTTCATGCATGTATTACTGAGTACCGGCAAAATCCTCCAGTTTCCCTCTTATTTCGTAAGACCAGGCGCGGATTCATGGGGGGGGGGGCTGTCCCCCCCCCCCCCTCTGGTAAAAACAAAGATTCTCACGAACTGAAGGCGCCCCCCCCCCGCTTATTCACCGGCTGGCTAAGTCGCCGCTAAATATTTCCTCAAAAATTGGACCCAAAAAAAAGGACTCTTACCCCCCCCCCCCCCCCCCCTGCCCCCGCTTCACCGGCTGGCTGAGTCGCAACTAAATATTTTCTCACGGATTGCCCCCCCCCTGGATCCGCCACTGAGTAAGACCCACTCATAATACGTGTAATTAAAAAAATGGGTCTTTCTTTACATTGGGGTAGCCAGGCGCGGATCCAGGATTTCTCAGGGGAGGGGACCCAATTTCTTTTTTTTTTGCTCCCAAAAATTTGAAGATCGCGCCGGCCGAAAAGTCGCTAGTGAGTACGGGCGGGTAGTGAGTACATTTTTTTTTTTTGGTCTTCGAAAATTTGAAAATTTGCACCCCCCCCCCCCCCCCCCTTGAGCGGCAGGGGGGGGGGGGACCATCCCCCCCAAAAAGCTAAAAAATCACGTGTTATTACATGATTTTTTTTTTCCGGGGGAGCTCCCCGACCCCCTTTTCCTGCTATCATGCATTTTTGTAGACACATTTTTGTTATTATGTCATGGACAATATATTCTTTGATGTTTCATGTAACTATATATTATGTTCAATATTGATGAATTGAATGAATCATTGGATGACAAAGTGGATTGTAAATATTATCTTCCTCATGAATTTAATTCAAGATTTGAGAGTGAAAATAATTCCTTTAGCTTATTACATACAAATGCACGAAGTCTTGTTAAAAATTATGAATATCTGAACATTCTGCTGTCGGCCCTCACCAAACCGTTTTCAGTCATAGGAGTCACAGAAACGTGGCTTAATGATACATCTCCATCTACTTTATGTAATATTGACAATTATTCGATTGTACGTTCTGATAGAAAAACCGGAAGGGGTGGTGGAGCTGCTATGTTTATCTCAAACTTGTTAACATACAAAATTAGATCTGACCTTAGTTTGAAGAGTGATGGTACTGACTCGATATGCATTGAAATCAATATGGCTCAAAGGAAAAACATCTTGATATGTACAATATATAGGCCTCCGCATACAAATGTTGAATTATTTTTGGATGAGTTTGATAGGATGCTGCATAAGGTCAATCTAGAAAATAAGGATGTTTACTTGATGGGTGATTTTAATATTGATCTTTTGCAGGAAGATAATACTTTTCATAATATGTTACGATCAAATTCATTCAATGCCATGATTGACAAACCAACCAGATTGGCAAATAACTCTTCTACATTGATAGATAACATTTTTACAAATGTCACCAATAACTATATAGGCTCTGGCCTCTTGTATAGTGAAATCTCTGACCACCTTCCAATTTTCCTGATTTGTAATCATGTTCGCAATTATCCTGAGGACGAAAAGAATCAAGCTATGATACGTAAAATCACAGCTGAAAAAATAGCCATGTTTAATGACGAACTACTCAAAGTAACATGGAATGACGTGGTCGCATGTACTGACACCAATAAGGCATATGCACTTTTTTGGAACTTGTTCTCCTCTCTTTTAAATAAACATATCCCAATGACTAAAAAAAGATCGGCAAGAAAAAGAATCAAGCAGCCATGGATAACTAAAGGTATCTTTTGCTCTATTAAAAAACGGAATAGATTATATAAATATAGTCTTCGACACCCAGGAGAGGAAAGCTTGAATAATTACAAATCATATAGGAACAAACTAACCACCATTATTAGACAGTCTCGACAAATGTATTTTGCCAAGCAGTTTGAAAATGCAAATGGAAAAGCATCATCAACGTGGAATGTGATCAATCAAGCCCTCAAAAAACAAAAGAGTAAATCAAAGTGTCATATTACCAAAGATAATAATACAATGGTTGATTCAAAAGAAATAGCAAATTGCTTCAATGCTTACTTTGTTGGGGTTGGCCCCAATCAGGCCAATACAATAGCTTCGAACGGAGTCGACTTCTCACAATTTCTTCAAACTCCCTGCAACAAGTCATTATTTCTCAAACCAACAAACTTGATTGAAATCTTGAATATTGCACGTTCTCTTAAAATAAGCTATGCTAACGGTCATGATGTAATAAATATAATAACCCCACTAGTGGATATTTTTAATCTCTCTCTGACGACAGGTACATTTCCAGAAGCATTTAAAATTGCTAAGGTTGTTCCGATATACAAAAAGGATGACTCTTCCCAAGTCTCAAACTATCGCCCTGTTTCTATTCTCTCGAGTTTGTCCAAAGTATTGGAAAGACTTATATACAATAGGCTATATTGTTTTCTAACAGAAAATGACTTACTGAATCAGGATCAATATGGTTTCAGGAAATACCACTCAATCAACCGATTTAGCCCTTGCACAATTATATGATAAGGTTTCGAATGCTTTGGCGTCTCGAAAGCATGTATTCATGGACTTAAGCAAAGCATTTGACACTCTTGATCACAAGGTACTATCAAGCAAACTTCATTATTACGGAGTAAGAGGAGTTGCTCTTGACTGGTTTAATGATTATTTGTCAGGTAGAAAGCAATATGTAAGCTACGAATCTGTAAATTCATCATTATTGCCTATGAAATGTGGTGTCCCACAAGGATCGATACTCGGTCCTTTATTGTTTCTACTGTATGTTAATGATATCTCGAACTCAACTACATCATTACAATATATTATATTTGCTGATGATACTAATGTGTTTTGCTCCAATTCCGATTTTCGATCACTTCAGAGAATTCTGAACACCGAGCTACCTAAGCTGTCTTTGTGGTTTAGGAGCAACAAAATTGTCTCTGAATCTGAAAAAAACTAATTATATTCATTTTCAAAGCAGGAAAAATGCAACTGATAAACCTATACCTGAAATAGTCTTGGATGGTGAATATTTGGAGAAAAAACAAAATACTAAATTTCTTGGAACTATCATCAATGAAAATCTGAAATGGAGTGATCATGTACATTACGTTTCAAAGAGAGTGTCACGCACTGTTGGTTTACTGTATAAGTTAAAAAATTATGTGCCTTTGAATATTCTATATATGCTATACAATTCCTTGATTCTTCCTTACATGTCTTATTGCAATATACTGTGGGCAGACTCAAAAGTATATACTGATAAAATGTTACTTTTACAAAAGAAAGCGATTCGTGTGTGTACCAATGCTGGATATCGCGATCACACTGATCCCCTATTCGCGAGGTTAAAAAAGTAACTCATATTAACTTTTTACAAAAAGCACTGTTCATGTTCCGTCTACATAATGATTCCCTACCTTCCCACTTCCCACCAATGTTTTGTTTGAATAGAAATATTCATACATACCCAACCAGACAATCAAATAAATACCATTTATGTAATCCTAAAACAACAATGGCTATGAAATCTATAAGACATTCTGGTCCGGATATTTGGAACTCACTGTCCGTTGACATCCGTAACTTGAAGTCAGTATATACTTTCAAGAAAAGTGTGAAATCAATTTTATTGAGCAAATATTGACAAATCTCAGCATTTCCTTGATATAGCAGGAAAATCCCCCTCCCATGCACCCTCTATCCCATTTTTTTTGGGGGGGGGGTTGCAAGTCACTGTTTATTTTTTGTTATTTTCCCCCAATTATGTTCTGTAATTTACTTTACTTTACAATCGTTATGATTTTAAATGTTTCTGGGCTGCAAGCGTATCAAGCTGTCACGCTTAGGCTGTAGCCCTTCTGTATCATCACCTCTTCGAGCGTATGTATCTATGATTTACTGAATGTGGAAATGTAATTTAACTTATGTTTTATACTCATGTAAAAACATTGTCACATTATTGTTATAACCTAATAGGTAGTATGATGATTCAGTAACCAATAAATATTTCAACTATTTCAACTATAGTGCCGGGCTTGAGATTCCGATAGAGCATCAATAACGGTGCATGAACCACAGCACCACGTCACCTTCACGATTAGTGGGACCTAAGAAGAGGAGAAATGAATCCCAACGTGACATTGAGAATATATAACGATAGAAAGTAGAAATGCCGCTTTCAACATGTTGTTCCATCTTTCTGTCTATACATCTTTCGAACATCGGGGCAGTGGTAGCACTACTATATGCCGACTTTGGAATAATGGATTTATCGAAATACATCAATCATAATACTTTGTGTCGCTCTAATCTTTTCAGTCACGCGCCCGATAAGATTTGTCAAGGCCAGGGAGAAAGTTTACATGAGCTGCTCTAGCTGAGCTGCATCATAACAGTTCAACGACAGTTCCGAAAGTTCGTAGACCTCAAAAACACTAGTTTGGGAAAGTAAACCCACTCGTACAGCTTTTAGAATTTAATTCGACGCAATCTTCCGAATATTGCCTACTTTCTTTCAAGTTAGATGCAGATATGTTTGAACCCTTTTGTCTTAATGCTGTCATAAATTTGCTCAATGAATAAAGATCTTTAAAAATGCAAATACAAGGACATCAAGGCTACGTCAGCAAGTATTACAATCTTTTGAAAATAAATCATGAGATCAGCAAATATAAAAAAATATCTTGCATAGCAGTAAAAAACGATTGTTGGAACATATCATAGGCCCAACGTTCAGAGATCACCAAATAATTTGGAAACTAATGACCCTTTTGCAATCTTGAGCTACGAAATGACTAAATCATGAGACTATTATCACCACAAACATAATACGCAACCCTCGCCTAGCTGGAATTGACAGCTACATGATAACACACATGCGGTCTCTACTGTTATGTGCAGGTTCACCAACGGAGGGAGGAAGTGCCAAAAGCGTAGCAGCCCAAACAGCTGACTGCATTGTATGCTAATGATCCGAAAATAAACACACGAGCCAATGTAGTAGGAGGAGGGGACCGCTGTTGCTACCTGCTAGCACAATAAACTCAGTGGCCGTCGTAATCTTCTGGAGCTGGGAGATGGACTGTAAGAATAGTTTGAATAATAAACGGTTGTCTTTAATTAAGGGGTCTATGGTTACGGTACAGAGAACTGCATTGTTGAAGCATGTTGAAGAGAATACCTGCATCGGTCAGCTGTTGTCATTATCCAGGCATTTTCTCGGGTGGTTCTAAGTCATTATCCCAGAGATAAGAAGGGTATTTACTTGTGAATCCTCTTCTTGTTACATGTTTCCTGATCAGACTTGCTCTTACCATGGATCATGCTCTACTCCTGCGTTCCTGTTTTCTTGGTGAATAAAGATTATACGATAGACCAAGGAGATGAATAGACCATATTTTATTATCCTACATTTTTTGCATGAAATTTGTTTTCATCTCCTTGATAATAGTTAGTATTTAAAGTTATTTTAATCTATTGCCTGCAGAAGCTAGGCCATTTGGTTTTGGGATAAAGTCGGAATATAATTTGACCATACATGGGTAACGGTCCCTCCTCATTACTGTCGAACATTAAAGCAGTATGTTTCTTTATAGGGCGGCTCCAATCGATGTCCGTCAATAAATAGTATCCAGATGATTATTACAAAAATATGACCTGCATGCGTTCTGTTAATTAAAACAAAGACCCAATAACACAATGGCTGGAAGTGAGTTGCACACGCCCCCCCCCCCCCAAAAAAAAAGAGGTGCTTGGTGAAAAAAGGGCCCCTATCCCACTCCCAGTGATGGATTCAAGACTCTCTGACCGCGAAGGCGAGAGCCTAACAAAAATCTCACCATAGTAGGTCCATGATCTCACCATGGACCTACATGATCTCAACCCCATCTCCAAAAAATATAAATAAAATAAATAGATACAATAAAAATATATGAATACATAAATAATTGAGAAACAAACGTACAAAATGTTATCATCTACATTTTTGTCATGACGAGCAAAAATAGAAAAAGATCATTGTCAGAGATAGAAAAAAGAGAGAGATAGAGAGAGAGCCAAATGGATTTGGTGGTAGTGGCACATGACTGCTCCTTGTGCTCCTGTGTTATTCCCACCAGTTCCTAAGATGACCTTAATATGGACCTCAATTATTTTCGTATCCGAGTAACTTATATTTTCAGGGGAAATATTTACAGACATTGTGTTTTTGTCTGTCTTAAAAAGGGCTATAATGTTTTTCTTTCTATTGTACTCAAATCGTCAGAACAATACGTAGCGATCTGAACTTTTGACTCTTTCGTAGGAAGATACTACTCAATATTCTAAATGTTTGTCTGATGCACATATATCCGACTATCTTGGGATTAACACACTTCCTAGGCTCCAGGAAAAGTAAATGCGGATTATAAATTACATTTTTATACAGCAGGGACAATTACATCCAGAGGGTATTGTATCCCTGTCCGACATTTATTTGAAGGTAACAAGAAAGAAAAACATCATAAATGCAAATCTATTAATGGATCCAAGTCAATTCATTTAACATGATCATAAATCTGTTATATTTTTTCTTCAAACTGTAATGTACACCCTCACCCCCCCCCCCCCCCTCTCTCTCTCTCTCTCTCTCTCTCTCTCTGTTCCAGTATTATTTGTATATATATATACAAAATGTATTTTTGGGGGCGATTCCTTCCTTTCAAGTTGGGCCTACTATATATTAGGATGACGATCCATTGCACCTGGACGGTGGTACATGCTAATAAAGGTCAATACCATTATCAATCGATACATTATTTGCGACTTTTTGCGACGCCCCCACCTCCGCCCCTCTCCACCCCGGCATCGACACCCTGCATCATGAGTACACGGTTAAGGATGAATTTCCTGCTCTGCGGTTGAATGTCCCATTGTCAATGGTGTTTATGAATATAATCAAACAATAAACGGAAGTCTCCCTTAATGGTACCAGGCAGTGACAATTAGCCAGAAGATAATCGAGCTTATAATAATTAATCACCAGTTAATCTGGTTTATCCTGATTAATACGATCCATGTAACCGTGAATTTGGGATGGGAACCGAAAGGATATATGATCACACCCTTTCCGTCTATTCAACTGTTTGTTATGGTTACCAGGATAGTCCATGGGTATATAAATATGTTATAAAAAAACGAACTACTTTGACCCACTCCCCGCCCCACTCCCCGCCCCTAAACAAAGAAAGAAAGAAAAAACAAAAACAAAAGGCCGTAGCCAATCCTGCACTTATGAAGAACACGTAGTGGTGGTTATAACGGGGAGGGGGGGGGGGAGCTCGGGGGCTGCCGGCTCAAGACCCAGAGAGTAGAAAATTAATACAAGAAACAATAATCCCTACCCCTGAATAAATCATTCTTCTAACACTGCGCCGCGTAGTGAATCCAGAATTCTGCCAAACGTAAGGGCAGCACAAAGAAAGGGTTTAATTATCTATTTAAATATGTCCGACAAGCAAAGACCCCCCCCCCCCTCATAAAAATAGTCATGATATACTTTAACTAAGTGCCATGATTTGAGGGGCATTTTAACAGATGATTGGGGCACATTTTCTGTTGTGCACATACGGAGGGGCTGCATCATAGGAGGATACCTACTCAATACAATCCACGTCTACATAATGATTTGCGATTTTTATCAGTTTTGTAATTCAACATTAATTTACATGCGATTTTTGTTTCAATTTTTAGCTTACACAAAATAAAAGCTCTCCTTTTAATTTACAAGATTCACTGGGGTTTGGTTCAATGTACAGTCATGTACCTAATACATATCAGGAAAATAAAAATGTAAACGATATGAATCATCCATGGAGATATCTCCATGAATCATCACATCAAAGAATATACCATCGAGCTATGTGGAGGTGCCGTAGTATAGTGGTTCGTTCGCACAATCCAAGGGTTGAGGGTTCAAATCCCAACCCGACACTAATGTCATTTGGCAAGATATTCATCCGCATTTGCCAGTCCAACCAATTGTTAATGGGAAACTGGCAAATGCTGAGGTAATTATAATTGCAGAGTCCGCAAGAAGAGCAGAATTAAAACCGATGTGGCTACCCTGAGTAAACTAAGACCCGGTTATTATTTATTGATTATGCAACGACATTATGTAGACATGTTAGTCATCGAAAATCTTATAAGCAATAAACAATTTTATATGGGGGTAATTAATCAATAATCACGATGATATTACACCAATCGCAATATCAACAATGGTGCATTGTCCTTTTATTTTCAACTCCACTCTGAAGATGAAGACAAATATTTGAAGTGTCGAGCTGAAATTGGACCTCTTGATTCTTCTTCAACTCATCAACCCTACTTAACTTCTCATTCTAGACATAATATATTATGAAGCCTTATAGATTAGGTATTATAGATAGGCTATGGTTAATCTTTAAGTCTATGTCAACATTGCAAATATTATGATGTATATTGATAATAATGATAAGGAGGAGTCACGGAGGTTAAAAAATGACGATTCAATAAAAATAGAGCCAAGCACAATGCACAACAGGAGACTGCACTCTTGCCAGACGAAGATGAAAAATAGTTAAGTCCTCGATTTATTTTTAACATTCTTATCAGTGTATCATATGACTTTAAGATGTTTTTA